TAAATTCATTAGTGGTATATATTTAATACATTGAATAATTTTTTCCATTGAAATTCAACAAGATGTGGTTTACCCCTTCCGTACGTGCTACAGTCGGCTAAATTTCAGTTAAACAAATGAAAAACAAAAAGCATTCGTACAGCAGAAAATAAAATTCACCCCGTCGACTTGATGGACACCCCAGCATTGCAATAAAAACGTGGTTAATAAAAAAAAACACCCCAGCATTGCGTGTTGCGCCCTCCCTCTCTTGGGGTGCAGTACTACGATGCCGCTGGGGTCACTCAAACCCCCGGAACTGAGCCTCTACTTCAGTCAATCCTCTTTGGTGTTGATCATGAAGTTCGGTTTGTTGTAATTTATCATACGAGTTGCAAGATGCCATTTCCGTGATCGGTTGTTAATGCAGCTGTAATGGATTTTTGTTTTCTGTAGCTGATGACAGGTCTGGGCTATCCAACGGATGGTAACAGAGACGTGGAGGATGCGGGAATAATGTGTCGTCGTGTGCATAACCTCGATCCTTCCGAACCGAAAACTGACAGTTCAATAACATCATCCCCAAAAAATTGTGATAATGTCTCACAATAGTAAGAATTATCATGACCTGGATATTACGAAATTATTCGAAGAACACACGATCAAGGAGATCGAGCAAATTCAGAAGAAAATACTTGTCGACATCGACTGGAAGAAAGTCGAGCTGCGAACACTTGTTGGGTAAATTTTTAATGATTAATTCTCATTTAACAATATAAATCACAATATAAATAAATTTCGTTGAAATTCACTCGACCAATCTCAAGATATTCACATAAAAAAATTGTCAACTTCATGATTTATTTTTTACAACCCAGAGAGAGGTACAGAGACTTGATCCAGGCTGCAGATACGATAGCTGAGATGAAGAGGACATCGGGGGATGTAATCCAGAGGATCGCAGGGATCGAGGATAAATTCAGAGAGCTTCAGCAAAAATATTTAATCGGTTTTAAGCTAGATCCACCAGAAAAACCCATAGGCAGACTGAAGAGCGATGTCTTCGACTCAGTTGTCGTGCAGATCAAGATCCTAGTGGATATTCCAGAGTACATCTGGTCGGCGATCGATGCCAGAGATATCCTGAGAGCCAGCCAATTATTTATCCTAGGACAACACATCAATTACAGTTTGACATTCGAAATTGGACAGTCGGTTTTGAATGAGAGGTATCCACTCGTGGGCAAACAATGGTGCATTATCAATAATTTTCGGAGTATTATCTCTGGGGAGTGCTCCAAGACACTGCAGTCTCTGGATCTGACTCCTGGGGTGAGCGTGAACGATTTTGCCATCGAAAATATTTTATTCCAGCGATACAATAATGATTTTTATAATTCTGTATCGGCATTTCAGGTAGCTGCCAACTGTCTGTCGTCTTTGGTTCTGATGGAGAAGACGAGTTCAAAGGATTTGTTCGAAAAAATAATTCAATTCAGGAGTAAAGCTATAGAGTCAATAGTTAAAGACGAGAGCCCTCACAGTGTCAGGCACAGAATAAAACTCTGTGTAAGACTCCTGATGGACACAATTGTCCTGATCCATTCCTGTTTTATAAGTAATAATATTTAAAATAATTGAAATTAATTATTTATGATTTAAATGATACATCAAGCTCTTGGTGTTGCAGAAGCTGCACCCCACGACGAGGGGTTGATCTCTCATCATATAAAATCGATAACAATCCAGGAAGCCTCGACGATGCTCTCCCAGCTGGACGTGAGTCCCCAGCTTCTTGACAAATATCTTCCCTCAGTGACAAAAAACCACAAACCCTTCGCGAAAGGTGAATTCAAAGAGCTCTCCCCTTCTGACGTCACCTCAAGCCTCTCCCAATGGTTCTCCTGGGTGAAAAAATTCACTTCCGTTTCCATAAGGCATCTCTTGAACCTGGTGACCTCAGTGCGAGGCCTCTTCACAATCCGCGAGGAGTCCATCGCCCTCGAGCTTCCCTCCAACTGGACAAATATCTGGAAAGACCTGTCCTCCCCTCCTCTCAACTTCTGGACAGAATTTTTCCACCCACTGCTTACTGAACGAGTAATGGAGCTGTTGAAACTCCGTTTAGAGACCGCCCTGGGGTCTCTGAAAACCTCGATAATCGACTTCCTCACAAAACTCCCAAACGAGAAGTTCTCGTCCCCAGAGCACGACCTCCAGTGGTTGGTCTGGAAAGACTCTCCTTTGGACATCCCCCAGAAACTCTCCAAATCGTCTTCCCTGGATACAAAACGCTCCCTCCTGATGAAAGCGAGGGGCTACTCCTCGAACCTAGTGGGCCTCTGCGAGAGTCTCGATAAAGACCTCCACAATCTGCTCTCGGACCTCGAGCAGTACCTGTATGAATCTGAAAATGTCCCAGTCACCCAGGACCTCCTGAGTCTCACTCTGTCCTCAGTTATCGACAAATTTTGGGACAGGACAGCCATCCAGGAAGACCTCCAGCGTACCAGTGCCAGTCTGACCGAGCGTATTGTGGAGTTTATAAGACTCGAGTGTACCAGTGAATCCCCAAAATTCGGTAAGAGGGAAATTAATGCCATCGTAATGGCGAGATTCCTCCAGGCGATGACGTCCATCTGCCCGAGTCTGAACAAATGCTTCACCTTATCGAAAATCTCTGGCCTGACAATCACAAACGTCAAGTGGCAGAACGTATGCGATAAAATGAGAGAGGAGACGACGAATATCTGGTTGATCTGGGTGAGCTGCTACAGGGAGAAGCTGAAGAGTCATCTTCACAGATTTCTGGTGTCTGAATCCATTGATGGACTCAGGATCAGGAGTATTGTTTGTGAGTGGGAGAGGGTAACTATCGAGGAGGAGGGAGAGGAGGGCAGAAGGATCAAGTCGGAGATTCTGGTGCCTTATCAGCCCTCGGTTTCTCTGCAGAAGTTCCTCGCTGCTGTCACCCGGGACTTGAATAAAGTTATCCCTCACACAATTCCGAAGAAAGTGGTGAACGAATTCAGTGGGAATGTCGTTGGGGAGCTCTTTGGATATTTCGAGGGGGCTCTAGAGGGGGAGATCAGGCAGAAGCAAGCGTTCCAGGTTCTGCTGGATGTCAAATATGTGACGATGATGCTCGTTCCCAGGGAGAGCAAACAACTCGTCGACAGATCTCAGGAGATTTGTAATCGAGTCCTCGCCAGCATCGATCCTTTTGATTCTGATGTTTTTTATCCATTCATTCACGTGAATGTTAAAAAGAGTGTACAAAGAACGTTGGTGAGCATTTAAAATTAAAATAGAGTTTATTTAATTTGAGATACTTGTGAAGATAAATATTTTGTTCTACAAATTCACGAGTAATTTCCCATTTCCTTTGCGCAATTATTCAGAGGCTATATTTGTTTAATCTTTCAGCTAATATTTGGAAATCTCGTACCTCACTTGGAGCAATTGCATTCGGTGCTGGGTGCACGTGGAGAATTAGTCGACAGTGGAAAATCGATATCCGATCCTCCTGGGGTACTAGCAGTTTGCTCTGGTGCACCATGGTTTCCACCACTGGCAGTCACAGTACCTTCTAGAAATTTGCCATTAATTCCCGTGGCTATTCCAGATAAAACACAGGTAGCTATCGAGACCAGTTCCCGTTTTACTTATCTCAGTTATCAAATGTAGAACGAAATCTTAGCGTTACTATCGTCTCAATATTTAGTCGCACATTGTCTTCTTACCATACGTTGTGTATCTTTAGATTGGCGTTTGCTTGAGGTAAGCAGGTAATGACGGGTTATTGTTTTTTTGTTACTGAATTAATTATTATTTCAATTAAATAATTTGATTGAACCCCATTATTAACGCAACACCAGAGCTGGGGAGAAATTAATTCACCTGATAAAATAATTGGCATTTCCAACTTTATGATTTTGAGATGGAGAATAATTATTTATTCCCAGCCCTGAGGCTTCAATGTTTCAGTTATCAATTGTTTCAGTGTTTGCATGCAATAATTGATTTCTTGATTACTGCATTTCTGTGATTTTTTTTTATTTATGCGTTGAATTTTATTTGCAACATAAGCGTAGGCTGCATCGCAATTTTTTCTATTCGCAGCGAAAGAAAGTGCCAGTGAAGGAACACACAAGGAGTGACTCAACTGGCTCGACAATTAAATCTGGAGCAGCTGCTTTCTTCGGAGCTATGGGGACTGATTGGTTTGGCTCCAATTAATCAGTCTATTGTTATGGAGTTTTTATATTTTATTGTAATTGTAAATAAACAGAGTCATTACGGTTACATTTGCATTTATTTATAGATTATCAATATATTGGACCCGATTGGGCCTGATTGGGCCAGAATTGCCAATCGTGTTGCAATTGCCCCACCCATTAATTTTTGGAAGATTAATATTCCACTACTCTAAGTCGGACTCGAACGGTCCTCACGGGTTTAATTAACATAATTATTAGGACAGAGTGGAGAAATCGAAAATGCTAAGGGGACAGTCGCAGTATTCTAGGCAATTTTTTTGGTATTCTGCTCGTATTATTTCGGAGGGCAAGTCTTCAGACTCTGAAGATGATGGCCTGAATGTTCAAAATTTACGTGTAAATGCAGTATCAATAGACAGGAAAAAATACTGCAAACAATTCTGATAAAATTTGCATCACTCACGTGAGAAAAATATGCAGGATATCTCCAACGAGACCATTTTCCATTAGAAATCCATTTGATGCTTCACAAATGGCTCGCAACAGACACCTCTTCCCGGGATATCCAGCACTGAAAATAATTACAACAATTTCCTCGAATCCCAGAATCGTTGGATTAGATGAGATAGAATTAAATGAGATAAAATCAATTACTTCTCTAATTTCTTCAGCAGAAAATCGTACGCCATTTTTCTATCCAATCCACGCACCCCGAACCCTCTGAACTCTTCATACCCGAAATAAGTTGCATTACCATCAGGAAGAATGTAATTTGCCTCAAAGTAAAGCGCCATGGAGACGGATTTGTCGGGTAGATCTAGAGGAATTCCAATAGCAAAAAATATCTGGAAGGAGATAAAATACTGAGAGACTGCGAAATCCCAGTGGAATAGATTGAAAAATGAAAAAAAATTTCCCCCATATCTCTCCCCTCAGAGATCCCATGTTCTCCAGATTGGATGGCCTTGAGTGTCGAGACAGGAACCCCAAAATAATGTCTCTTATTACTCAATCAAGAATGATTGATGTCCTGTTACCCCCATTCCAGAGCCCCGGGGAAATCCAGCAGAGCGTATTATCCTTGTTACTGCAGAAGTTGCGTTCTTCGTCCTTGACCCACAGCACACACATATGAATAACGCAAATGGGTAAACTTTGGCCCACCTGCAGAGTAAAAATATATATAAACCCCGTGGACTTGTCTATTGCATGAAAATCTGATAAAAACCTGATAAATTGTATAGAATTTGTTAAATAACTAATTTGAATATTAATTATTGTTGTAGAAACATAAAAAAAAATTTTTTTTTACGCATTACCTTCAGCTCTTCGTTGGCTGTTTCGGTATGAGAAATTTCTGGGATAATTGACATTTCCTTGAAGATGTTAATGCCCCCCACTTGATCACCCTCTTATATCCATATCCTCGGTACTCACCTCCTCATTATCCGCGATCAGACGCAAGGTAACTGACAACAAAGCTGAAGGAGTCGTTAGCGGTTGGCCGGAATGCCTCGAGATAATTAAGAAGATTGTTCGTGTTTGGATCATAATTAAGCTAATAAGAGTACACGACAAACGCCTTGAGTTGAACGAACCTCAACCCGATCGCAGAAGAAACTCAATCCATTGACTTGATCCACATAAAAATCGTTCGATTGATTAACGAAGTGCACGGAGTCAAAAAGAAACGATGTTTTTCTCTGGATTCTGGAATCTGCAATTTATTACTTGCATCTGGCTGGAATGGAGAAAAAAAATATTTTATTTCAGAAAATATTCTCTCAATTTTACCGAATAGTAATTGAGATTTTTGGATTTTTATGTCGGCCATTGTATCAGCGGGAATTCTCGGTAGTCGCGAAAGGATGAGTTTTTCAACAAACTTGATGGTCTTCTGCTTGTGAGTGTCTTCATGATCTCCAGCCGTTTCTGGCTGTTTTATGGGGAACGATAGAATTTCACGAGCCAAATGTTACGATTTTTTCGGCGACCTGGAAGATGCCCCAGGATTATTCGGACGACCGTAAAAAAATAATATGGTGGTCTGCGGAGAAACCTTCGGACATCACTTAATTGGATTTGATATTATCTGAGCGATCACAATCCAAAGCTGAGATAAATACATTTATTAAAAAATAGATACCACCACAGATGAAAATTTTTGTTGTATATTATATATTTTATATATTCGCCAGATGTTGGGGATGTTGGGAGCCGCGAGATGAGAGCCGAACCTGGAAATCTCAATCTCCACAGGAGTATAAACTCCTGAAGATGTACAACTTCCTCCACCCATAATCTCTGACCAGTTCAATAGAAATCCTCAATAATGCCAGTGCCCCCGAAAAATCCATCGGATGTTATTAAATTCTTGCCTCAACATAGAATTTTCTCACTCCTCGGCTATTGATCGGACTGCGTTCTTTCGAAACGATACAAGAAGAGATGTGAGCTAAAAGAGACAAAAGGACAAAGGCAGGGTAAAAAAGTGGTAAAAGAGGAAAAAAAAAATATCCCATCGGGATGCTTTTGCAGTGTCCATACAGGTCACGTAGATTCACCGTTATTTACCCTGGGCTCTTTTCCTTTTAGCCCCCACAGCGCCAATACAGTGTACGATTAAACGAGCCCCCGAGTTCTGTAGCACAACCTGATCCCAATTGAACTCCTTCGTTCTACCTTCTTTTTACTTCGAAAAAACAAAAGTTCGTTACAGCTTTTTTGTAAAATATTGGTGGTACACCAGTTGGAAATTGGTGACACTGAGGAAGACACCGGATGACACCGTTTTGGCTCGCCGAGCCAGTCCACTCGGGAGATAATAAAGAAAGAAGAATCACAAGGAGTGACACTTGTCGATAATGGTCGATTAAAAGTCAGGGTAGAGGTGCTTCCACGTCTACAGTTCAACACGTCCCTCGGCGTTTTATCAGTCGGTCAATGTGAAGTCTTCTTTCATGCAAATTGACACGGCGCTTGTGATTAAATCGTCTGGCAAATGAGGCTTGATCAGTGCCAAATTTGACCCGTCACTTCATTGACTCCTGATCTCCACCGGTGATGGCTTGGAAATTTAGAGAGAATAAATTTTCATGAAACATTGAATAAAATAACGTGAAGTCGATTTGGTTTCGGTGTCATGATGTCAATCAAGGAGTGAGTAGCCCCGCAGATCTTCCGCGTCATGAGAAGTGGGAATTCACCCCTGAGGACGTGTGAATCGTATTAACATCGAGCGTTTGTTCCTGAAGAAACGATCTTCGTCAGCAGCCCCTTCAAAAATGACCGTAACCACTCCCCAGACATCGAAGACACCCCCGAGACGCATTTGCCAATCGATAAATCGAGAGACCCCGGAGATTCCCCGAAGAACGATGAGAACGCGGGGAATCCCACGATCGCAGCGTCACCAAGTGCGCGGCGCTAGCTGCACATTCTCCAGCCAATGAGAGACAACCACAGACACCCGGAACAGCCGTTGGAGTAAATTTCCGTTTTTCAAAAAAAAAAAAATGAAAAAAAAGCGAAAAATGAGATCCCCTCGATTCTGCCAATCACTATTACTGAAGGCTGGAGGTTTGAATAGAGGACACCTCGGCCCAATAATGCAATAGAACTCACGGCTCATCCAGCCCGCTGTAGTAATTGGAAATTTCCGTTACAATGTTTCGCGATTGAATCCCGTGTACGACAACCAATGTATACCCGATTGAAAGGCGCGGGATGGGAGGGGGTGGGCTTTGGAATTTCAACGCGCAAACGGCACGCGATAGAATCGAATCCCCGGAATTCTCGTCGCGTCGAATTGAACGAAGAGAGAGCGATTCGCTCTGCAATTTATCGTAGGATGCGTTGAACGTGGGTGGAAACCCTCTTCGGCCATCTCTCACTTCTCTGGGAGGTTTTCTCTCTCGGGTGTGGGGGATGCGGTGAGTTAACTCTCCAGTAAAGCGCGTTAATTTCATTCAAACGCCACAGCGACGTTCCTCTCGTTTATTTTCCCTGAATTATTAATGCTCAAGGACTCTCATAATGCGGGCGTTCGATGCTCATTGCTCGACACGAGAGGCTGTTCATTAACGTATGCCTTCAATTTAAAATGAGGGCCTGAAAATCACCATTTTTTTACCAACCCGGGTGAAGAAAAAAATCTAATCGAAATATTTTTTCCAGTTTTTTAAAACATTTCTGGAAAACTTTTCGCAAAATTTTTCTTTTGAAAAAAAAATCGGGAAACAAAATAATTTTATTTTTGGGAAATGTTTTGAACAATTTTTCAAAAATTTGATTCTGAAATTTTTTTTTATTATTTTCTAGATATTTTTCAATATTTTCAAAAAAAAACGCCATCAAAATGATAAAAAAAAAATTCCTGTTCAAATTTTGAAAAATTTTTCACAACCTTACCCAAAAATAAAATTGTTTTCCATTCCGATATTAATTCCTAAAAAAAAATTCTGAAAAGTTTTCCCGAAATTTCTCAAAAATTTGGAAAAAATAATTCGATTACAATTTTTTTTAACCCGAGAAAACCCATGTAATTTTATTCTGTCTAATTCATGTACATCGCGTATACATCGAGACGTTATGGCCACCTCTCCATTTCACCGAGTTGTAACCGAGAATTGAAAAAAAAAAAAAACGAAGGGAAAAACTTCTTCAGTCATAAAACCAATGGCACTCTGAATGTTGCGACCTGGACGTGTGTATGTAATCATAAAACGAATATTCGTGTTACTCCGTGAGTTTTATTCATTTACACAGTGGGAGTATAATTTTTATACATTTCATATAAAATTGCAACTCATGTTTCAAAGTGGTCATGAATCATTTTTTATCGATGAGCATTTAACTGATTGTTCTGGCCGCCGACTGGTGGATTAAATTAAAAATCCCATTCACCTATTGCACAAAAGCAATATCAATTATACTTGCGACAATTGATTGACTATTTCATCAATTGATAAAAATTCCGCTGATTCAAGAGGACAACAGAACATGTGCGTGTGGATTTAGTCACCCGGAAGAAAAATCCCTCGTTTTATTAACGTCTGAGCCCTCCCTCCACCGATAACGGGTTTTTCTCGAGACGTGGCAACGACCTGTCTCCAGTCTCTCGATCTTACCTTCTCCTCGGGTCTTAATTTCTTCTATTTATCCTCCCTTCATTCGATCCCTCCCACTCACCCCCTCATTCATCCCTCGCGATTTCACCAACAGGGTGGCTGTCAAGTGCACCTCTTCTCCAACAGCATGAGAATCACTTCCAATAGCATGTGAGTATTAATCGAATTTTTATCTGAGTTTAAAAGTGTTGGCAAAACACTGCACACAAAAGAATAAAAAAAATGTGGAAAAAGGGAAAAAGGAAGATGGGAAAAAGGTAAACCGACGGAAAGGCGGAAAACTGTTGGGAAAAGCGTCGAGCTGGGGCTAGAGCTGGTGCTGGGAGTTGGAGTTGGGGCAGGGCGTTGCACGTTCTTGGGCGTGTGATAAGAAGTTAGTTTTATGTGCAATTTCCTTTCCAGTTATCCGGTTTAAAAAGAGGGTGGGGATATAGGTACGCGAGTCCTGTTTGTATGCACACGGTTTTTCATGGGTTTCGTTTCTCAACATACACCTTCACTGATATCCCTTGGGGAAAATACTGCGGCTGAGGAAAACTGTAGTTCTGCGAATGAGGAGATGCTAGTGCTTTGCGTTTAATGGTGACTGAATTTTTCAGGAGGATTAGTAATGTCAAACGGCTTTTCGTGCCGATGTGTCATCTCGTTCGTTTCATGATATTTAAATGTGGTCTTCTTCAGGGGCTTGGGGGGTGTGACCTAGAAACTCGAGAGGCTATTCATCCTCGAAGTCATGGTGTCGCTCTATGACCAAGTCATTTCGAAGTCATATTTAAATAATCTGAAGTCACATCGCATTCAGTCGAAATTAATTGAGCGAATCCAAGTGCGAATAGAAACTTCACCTTTTTTCAAAATATTCCTCGAGGAAACCGGCAATCTCTTTCCAGATTATCACGTTGGACTCGTTGGGTTGCAATAGCCATCGTCCCATTTTCTATTCCATAAGTGGATCTCTCCCGATCGGCCCACGGTCTGCAGAAACAATCCGAAAGGGTGGAATGGAGTGAGAAATTGAAATATCAGATTGGCGGTTTAGTCGGAAAAGAGTGATTTTTAGCGCGACCATTTTTTTTTTAATAATTTTTATTGCAGATGGAGAATAGTTGGTTTCGTTTTGGTTGGACTGAAGTCAGGCGACGGATTGGAAAATCACATGTCGGGAACACTCCATCGACAGTTGAGGGAATTGAAGTATCCAGATGACAGCGAAATGGGAGTGAGTATTTTTTTTTATGGAGATATGGAAGTCAGTGGTTGAGAACAAATGTTGTGGATTTTCTCGCGAATCCGATCGTTTTTTACTACCGCGTTTGTTTAAAGACGAGATTGACGACCGGAGAGCCGGGGCTCATAAAAATGAATCATAAAATAAATAAAAATCATGAAGCTTCCGTCGGAAAAAAAGGTTTATGTGGATTGTTGGAAGCCAGTGAGGGTTTCCCTGCTTTCGTTGATAACCAGGACAATGACATTTAGAATGACATGTATTTTCAAAAGTCATGGAAGTCTTCAAGTCTGCAAATCTGTGAATCTGCAAATCCGCAAGTCTGTCTCCTGTTTTTTCCTTTATCATAATTTCCCTGAGGACTCCCAATTTCTCATTAACATTACAGTAAGCAACAAGTAAAGGGTTAACAACTGGTCGTGGGGGTGGCATCCCCTATTTCCTCAGTGCCCACAATATCCTCTAGGTACACACGTCCATTAACAACTCCGATATCGACGGTAAACGCAGTTGCACAGCCATCATCCACTCATCTTCACTAACCGTTCCGACTATAACCAATCGATTATATTTTTTATCAAATTATATTATTTTCCAGGTGTTTTTCGCCCTCGCCATACCACTCGACGATCCAGCATCCACCAGAGCAATGTCCGTTGCTTTTTTTTTCGAAGCAAATTATGGTCTTGTCGATTCCAGAGGAGAAACATCACGAGTAATGCGGGACGTTCGTCAGGATGCAGTGGGCGTTGATCGTCGGACCATTTATGGCATGTTGGAGTCGAAATTTCAAGAGTTTGTATTATTCCTCTCACATCACTATAAATTTGTTATTTTTTTTTCTGTCCGCAAGGCTGATGAAATCCTCAACCTCCAATCAACTGATCCTCCAGTAACACCAATAGCTCCCATCGATAGCCATCCTCGGATTACCTCCTGCCTCCAGGTACAATTTCTCCAATGCAGTTCCTTTCTGACCCGGAGGAAAAAAGACAAGGGAGCAAAAAAATTGTGGAGTAGAATACCATGGGATTAGGGATTAGAGGAAGGGATAGAGTTCTCTTGATGCTTTTGGTGTATATATAAGACGATAAGGCAAGGATCGATGTGACTGCGGTTCAATGAATCTCGTCCGCGAAACTGGTAAAGAAGAAGCTGAGGAGATTGATGCGGTTTCGGGTCGATAGGCATCGGGCTACATTTTACAGCAGACCAAGGCTTCGAGGAAGGGGATGGAGTCATTGTCCCGTATGAAATTCCATAGTCCATAGAAACAAATAATAATCACCCTGAACATGTTCTACCCGATTTTTTAACGAATTGTTTAGCGTTCCCTTCGATAAATTAAACTTGGTACAAAATTCATTCGGTTTATGACTTTCTGGTGAAGTAAGACCTGAAGAAAAATTAAAATTTTTTTTTGTGTGCCACCGGTGTTTTTTTACTGGGTGGTCATATAATTTGAAAACTGTCCGGTTAATCACGCGGTGATATTAGGCAGGAGATAGTTGTAGTGGTTGGAGGTAAATGGGTGGGAGGTGAGGGTGGGTGGGTTGTTCGCCACGAGAATTAATTTTACGAGTACAGGGAAAACAAAGATCGACGATATAATAGGTAACTGGTTAGCTGTAATCTTATTCAAGCCTGGAGGGTCTTTTTCCCTCGTCGGTGGTTCTGGGGATTACTGGCCGATCGAAATGATGCTGGAGAATGTAGTAGACAAAGTACAAAGGAGTGAGAGGAGGTTGGAAAGTGGGATAAAGGAATTACCGAATTATGGCCATTTAAGGCGAGAAAACGTTGAGCCAATCCGCAGCTTAAAAGCTCAACTTTCAAAATGACATTGATAAATCGATTCAACTTCCATGGAAAATCATTTTTCCAGATTTATCAATATTTTATTATTCAATATGTTCGATATACGGGAAGAATTTATCCGTGATATCAGAAAAAAATTTTAAAAAATTGAACTGTGAGGAATTTAGGAGGAGAATTGCTGGAGTAAAATGATATCACAGCCTCTTCGGTCTAGTATTTCTAGGTGGTGTTGGAGAAATAATTGGAAGTAATAACAGAAAATTATCCAGGCACCAATGAAATTATCCCCACATCTTTCAACCCAAATTTTCCGAGGGCTCTAATGTAATGAAACTCTGCAATAATGAGGCAATTTCTCCAGTACTCCAGCACCGACCCATAAATTGACGAGATCTTCTGGCACGTCGAGTGCACTTCATTCGAAATGGTCAAAGGCAAGTTGAAGTGAACTACTGTGCGAGGGGGAGATGGGGGTAAAAAAGATGTCACGAAAAAAAAAAAGCTGTAATCCAATTTCTCTATCATTCGTCACTCCCCTGATGCGACGTGCCCCACGAATAGGGAATGGGACGAATGAGTATCTTCTGGTGCAGATAAATAGGAAGACACTTCCGTTTTCTCGTCTCCTGTCCTGGATATTCCCCATTTGTCTTGTTACCCTCGTCATTCGGATACATCATCTCGGCTTGATTGATCGTTTCTCTTTCACGTTTTAACTTGCAGCTTTGGCTTGCCGGGACGAGTGTGCCTTCTTCGTTTCATCTGCGAAACGGCACAGTGGAAAATTTCCCGACATAATGGACTCACTGGTGATCTCTTGAGGATTTTATTGACGTAAGTTGTCTGTCACAAAATTTCAATGAACTATTTTTTACTCCATCTCATCTCCGTCTTAATGTCTCAAAAATACAATTTTTTACACACTTTTAAACAATTTTAAACAATTTTAAACAATTTTAAACAATTTTACACATTTTTAAACAAATTATTTAAATCATAGTCCTCGAAATTCCTCGGGATTGAATATTTTCATTGCAATTCGTACACGGGAGAAATATTCCAGAAAAATTACGGAACATTTCCGTAATCCGCCAGCGAAAATTATTTTCGGGGAATAAATTCAGAACTTTCAGTAAATTTTCGGGTTTTGTCAGCAAAAAAATACGAAAAAATTACGTAATTTTTCTGGATGTTTTAAAATCGAACTCGGGTAAAAAAAAAATTGTAATATTGTTCCATTAATTTCCAACTGCCTGTCAATGATATTTTTAATGAACAATCAATTGGACGAATGCCTAAAAGTTCTCCAGCAAGTGTTGGGGAACATGGCGGCGAGGAAATATGAAAAAGCGCGAACCCCGAAGATGGGGATTGGCATATCCCCGGAGTATGTAAATCGCCGAATTGAATCGTTTGAACCCGATGAGATTCGGTGTGTAAGGATGGGATACAGCGAATAGGAGTGTTGGATAGAGATTGGAAAGGGCAGTTGGAATGGAGGAATGGTCTAGTAGGGACTGTCTCACACCGGTTTGCATATCGATCTGTGGAATCGATTGAAAGCCGGAGGCGGAGCCAAACATTTAGTCACCCCAATGTTATAGGCCGATGGACAATACCTTAAGGCGTAATTTAAAGGATATTTTACAGGCCATCTTCATCGGCTGACGAGGACTTACCAGACGACTACACCCTAGCTGAAGAGCAACCAGATGATTGCGACAAAACTTACTCCCGGTGTCCCATTGGAATTTACGACTACATAACTTCAACTGAGGAGTGACCATATCGCCAAACCCCCTCATATCCTTGGATTACACCTGACACCCACAAAATGGCGGCCTGCTGGATGAGCCGTAAGATGGTGGTGCCACAGGCGTCTTGTGGTCAAACCCTGAAATTATACTTTAGCATATCACGTACTTGGGGCGGTCCCAGAATAATTCAGGACTCATCCTACACAACCCATCCTATTTTGTGTAAACCACTTCCTCCAGCTTCCAATGGACCACCCCCTCCAGCCTGACCCAATGAAAAAACGACGATTTATTCATCCTGTCTTAATCGGAAAAAAATGTCTTTACGGAAAAAAATCCTGATCATAAAAAATTTAATTCTAATAAAAATATCAGTATTAATTGTAAAACGCCATTTGGACGCTAAAGAGTAAATGGTGAAGAGGTAATGAGAATAAAAAACATGATAATGGTAATTTTGATTTTTTTTTTTTTCATTTTTGACAATCGAGTAAAAAGAATACAATGGAGAGTACATGAATAATGGAGATGTTTATATCAATCGATTGTTATTGGGAGAATGGAGATTTTCCGATTGGGGAGAGGATGAAATTTTTGGAAAAATCCTTTCACCTGCTCAAATGAATTGAGTGACACGCGGGTACAAAATGATGTGTGTGTGTCGATTGCACACACCGAATGGTAAATTTTACACGGGAATTCCAATCAAGTCGAATAGCCCCACGGGACAGATGGAATGATATTTGGAGCAGGTACCACATCGTCCTATCGTTTCAGCCTCGACAACGTCCTGCGGTAGATCCTCCGGTTGAGAAGTCGACGGCCTGTAACGTAGACCACGTCGTCAGGAATACGGATAATGAATGGGAATGGGATACAGATTGGGGAATCCCACGTGTTGTGATTTGCATACGATAGTGGTGCCATTGTACCCATTTACCAATATTCCATCTCATGTTTATTCGTAAGTGAGAGATTAATCTTAAGGTTTGAGGGGTTTAATTACTTACGTGAGGATGACATTTATCATATCACCGAGGACTCCATTATCTTCTAAATTGAATTGCGAAGTTTCGCAGATCGATCGGAGAAGGCAGCCTCTTCCGTTGTATCCGAGGCTGGAATACAATTCCTTATATTTTCATCTCTGTACTCACAATCCGCTATAATATTATCAAATAATATTCTAAAAAGAAAATAAGCGCTTAATTAAGCATTAAAAAAGCTTTCAATTGACGGTTTCATCCTATCGTATTTTTTGATTCAGCTCCAGTGGGATTTATCTCCCCAACGAAATAAAATTTCTCGTTTGATCCTCCGAGTGATTCTGCCACCTCCAGATTTTCTCGGCTATATCATCCAGGTTCAGACGTAGAAACTAAGGCAAATGTGTGCGTAATCAATTTCCCCAGCGTGAAGCATAAACAAATGCTGTGCAAATCCTTTGCCAAGTGACAGCCTCGAGAAATATCTCGCTGTTGATAAGCCCCAGTGAATAGTTAAATTGGATAAAGCTTGCAATACAGAATATTCGCATGAGAAAGAAAGAATCATTACTACCTCGCGAATTTATTCGCAAGTGTTCCGTAAATTCGCGCTCTATCGATTCCCCGTTTTTTACGTTTACTCTCGGTCCAAGGCTCAAGAATCGTGGAGTTAGGTAGGGGATACGACGCTTCGAAAAAATATGAGAGTGAAATAGACTTGTCTGGATCAGGAAGTGGAACTGCCAGGGCGAAAAAGAGCTGTAACAGAAGTGCATTGTTCGATTCAATATTTCAAGGTTTATTTTTCACAGATGCCTGTTGGCAATCAGTTACGAGGGCAAAGACATTAAAGCCTTTTATTATCACCATCTCAATCCCCTCCTCAATCATTTCCACAATTACAAATAAAAATAAATTAATAGTATCCATTAAATTTTATTTTTCCATAATTTTTCATTTTGTTAAAATCACTCACACCCATTGTACTGCCTTCAGGAAATGAAACTGCGCGTATCGGGCGATGGAGTACTTTCGCCATCTCTGAATTCTTATTTTCATAAGAAGTGGATGCGATATCGAGACAAACCATGAGAATAATCCTGCGAATAGAGAAATACAACTCAATGGGGACGAAAAAAAAAAAATAGAATCCCTCGAATGGCTGGGGGGAAAATTGATTTAATTTGATTGGTTTAATTGGTCAATTGCAATGAACAACAGAATTAACGCTGGAATACGTATCCCGAGGTGAGGGCAATGAAAAGTTATATGAATGGCGTTGAAGGCGGTCGAATTCCGCTGGTAAAAGGCCTGTGGTTTTCAGCATTGGCCAACGCCTCGCTCTGACCATCAAGGGCTTATCTACTTACGCCGGGGAATTCCCGAAAAGACCATTCACATTGCCAGAAATGGAATTCACTCTGTTCTCTGTGTTGGGTTACGCCATGCTCTGTTTAATCGCTCGGATAACGGCAATCACATTTCCCAACTATTCTAATTAATATTCCAATTTTGACAAAGACTTTTTCCTCTGCTTTTTCCTCCTCATTGACAAAAATATCTGGATAATAATCCATGGTTCATGGAAATATCTTCAGCAGGATAAATTTTATTCTTGTGTGATTGCGTTATCGTTCAATTTCCGTTTCTTATCCCCCGGGTTAAAAAAAAATGGAATCGGAATATTTTCTCCAAATTTTGAAAAAATTTCTGGAAAAATTTTCAGAATTTTTTTTTTTTGAAACATAAAAAGTCGGGAGACGAAAAAATTGTATTTTTCGGAAATGTTTTGAAAAATTTTTCAAAAATTTGTTTCGCAAATTTTTTTCATAATTTTCTTGAAATTCTTGCGAATATAATTTTTTTTAATTATCCTGCGATTTTCTGACTTTTAAAATTTTTAAATATTCTTATTAAATACGTCATCTAAATTCCAAAAAAAATTCCCATTTAAATTTAAAAAAAAATTTCAAAACCTATTCCAAAAATAAAATAATTTTGTTATCCGATTGTTTTTTGTTTCATAAAAGAAAATTCTGAAAAGTTTTCCAGAAATTTTTTACAAATTTGGAAAAAATATTCCGCTTCCATTTTTTTTTACCCGGGCATAGTTTACCAATGAATTATCAGAAGTAATATCAATTAATACTCACAACCCAACCACTCGACTTTCTGGTTCCTCCATATTTCCGTGACTGCCCTGTTATTCCCATCCTGAAATTCGTCGTCCAGTGTTTCTCTTTAACTGTTAACCACCGGGAGCGTTAAGCAGTGAGTACACGAAAACGGTGCTGTCATAACTGTATCCATTCTTTACAGACTTTTGAAATAATATTATTTCGACCCCTGAAAATAGTTCAGTGACCCCTATCAGTATTATCACAACCATGGTAAATCTCGTTGTCAGCTGTCATATCGTAGGGTTACTCTACTTGCTTGCCACCACTCGAGGATCACTCAGGAACAATAAACACTTTGACATCAAGAGTTTACTCCGAAAAAAACGGTATTTCGTTTATCCCGATCCACTTGGCAGCGAAACCAAAGTCCAGGTACACCCTGGGTGCCAATTCCCACCTAGATGTTAATCTCAATCATTAGCAGAGACACCAGTTCGTCTGTCTCGTTAAATAAAATATTATTTTTTTGTTGAGGTACTTTTTGGTCTTGGACTCCCCATGGAAGGTGACGTAGCGGTGATCCTGGGGTACGTTTTGAAATGCAACTACAATTTGCCCTATAACAGCTCGACCCTTAGTGATCCGTATACTCGATATCAGAGAGATATCGTGAGGGAAAAATTTTTATCGAGGTGGAGCCTCTACCGATTATTAGCGAGTGTAATGGAGACCATGGGCTCGGGCAGGGGTTGTTTGCTCCGGGCAATTTGCGAGGCTGCAGAGAGCCCTTTCGATCACTCCAGGGGACTCCTAGGGGAACTCCTCCACGTCCTCCTGACACCATCGAGCACTCCGGAGGGGCATGACCTCCACGAGGACCTCGAATTTCACAGAGCCGAGGCCATTGGGCGGGAAAATCCTGGGGTGTGCTCCAGGATTTTTTCAGAATGTCTCAGAAGTCCTCTGGAGTACTTCACGGGGTTGTGACTGGAAATAATTGACGGGTACATGACACTTGTCGATTGGAGAAAATAAAATATAAGTATACAAATTTCTTTGAGTCAATATATTTATTTGAAGTGGAGTAAAATTTTGTTTTCTTTGAAATTCCATTTCCATTTCGTGTAATATGATAAAAAATTTTCTCACTTCATGCGAAACAATGTGTCAGCGTTCAAGAATATTCAAAACAGTTTCTAAACTCCAGGGAAAAAAAGGGATCTGGATGGAGAGGGTTGGAGCTGAGAGTTTGAAGAATCAAACTTTCATCCCGTGTTTTCTCCTCTTCATGGTCCCCACGTTTTTGTTGAATTTCTTGTTAAACTTGTCATGGCAATTTCCGGAATCTCTTATACCAACGCCCTAAATCGATGCATACGGAATGAGATTGCAGACAGTTGTGCTGCAGAAGGTGTTGACCGGAAATACTCAAACCCCTCGAAAAATATTCTGCACTGATGAATGTTCTGGATTTTATTTAAAAATACAAGTGTAGATACTTTTTTCATAAATATTCCAACATTCCTTTCAACTTCATTAGCTTAAATTGAGTAGAGAGTGGAGTGTTGAAAAGGCGGAAAAAAATATCGCGTTGCTCCAATCGGAAGCGGAATTTCTGTTTGTTCTGCGCTGTGTGGCCTCTTCAACACTCGTCAGTACTAATTAGTCCGTGGAGAGTGCACGGAGTCATTAGTCGGTTTACCACTGGCCGCCCTCGAGTGGCCATTCGTTGTCCAGAAGCCAGAGGTTTCCTCTGATTTCTTATCAACATTTTGGCAATTTCCGGGAGGATGAGGATCCTCGCTGGACACTATCCTATTCTTGTTGAAGTCTCTATATATCTCTTTGCCCTTGACTCGACGACAATAGCTGAAGAGACACGGCAGAAGCGGTATTTGGTATTTCCAACACCCGGCACTTTTGCCGCGACAAAAGTTCAGGTAATTTATCGATATTCTTTCTATTTTTATTAGTACTCGCGGATAAATTTTTTTTTTATCGAGGGTATTTCGATGATACATCTTCAAAGTGACTGGTGGGATATAGATGATGTGATGTCATGCGATATGAATTTTTTTGGGAATCAATGCAGATGTAAATTAAAAATTAAAAACAAATCGGGTAAAAAAAAATTGTAATCAGAATATTTTTTTCAAATTTTCCAAAAATTTCTGGAAAACTTTTCCGAGAATTTTTTTTATAAAACAAAAAAAAATCAGAACACAAAACAATTTTATTTTTGGAAAAGGTTTTGAAAAATTTTTCAAAAATTTAAATAGGGATTTTTTTTTTATAATTTAGGTGGCGAATTTTTTGGGAATTTTAATTTTTTGGAAAATTTAAAAAAGTAAGAAAACCAGAGTATAATTTAAAAAACATATTTGCAAAAATTTCTAGAAAATAATTTTTTAAAAATTCTGAAAAGTTCTCCAGAAATTTTTGGAAAATTTGGAAAAAATATTTCGACTACAATTTTTTTTACCCGGAAAGCAGAATGATTTATTGAAGCCTCCGATTAAAAAATTCCAGGTGATAGCAGGTCTTGGTCTGCCGATGGACGTGGATGTCAGTACCATAATCGGATATGTTGTGAAATTCAATTACGCCCTTCCATACAACGCCTCTTACCTGACAGATCCCTACGTACGTTATGAAAGATCGATCGATGGCTTTCAGAAGGAAATCAGCGAAGAATCTAATCAACAAGGTCCGTAAAAACTTATCAACTCGATTTGATGTCGATGAAGTGGCGTTTCATAAATTGTGTTCTCAATTTTTTATGTGCAAGCGTCCCAGCAGTCGTTATCGTAATTTCGAGGTAGAGTAGGCGAGAAAAGAGGAATGAAAAAGGAGAGAGAAAAAAAAAAGCAAAGAGAGGAAAAAAAGGTAAAACCCCCTGCGAAGAAATGGAAGGAATCTGGATAGAGCCGAAAGCCCCCGGTGTTTTGCACATTAATGGATCTTTTTTCTATGAACCCTGAAGTATATCTCGTTGCAGCCAGTGGAAAGAATGGAAGGAAAAATCCTGGACAGCCGTGGATTTTCTCTGTACACCAATGCCCACTTTCATTTTGATTAAATTGTATCCGTCCTGAATGTCTCCGTTTTATCCTCAGTGTTTCACTTCAGCGATGAAAAATATATCTTGAAAGTTCATTGTTATTCATTAATTCCGACTGTTCTAACCTTTAGGCTCATCCCTCGGATCCATTTCACGATGGGATATATACCGAATGATCGAGTCTAGTCTGGATGCTCTTGGATCAGGGAGAAGCTGCCTCTTAAGGCTGATTTGCGAGGCAGCCGCTCTCCCATTTTCAAAATACCCCGCTATTTCACCGCACCTCATTCACCTTCTACTCACGTAATGTACTCATTATTTTTCTCTTTTTATTTAAAAAAAAACGAGGAATGCAAAAAAAATATGCGGGGATTACCCGAGAGTGTATAATAAATCACAAAATTTTGGTTTAGAAATTTTTTATATGAAGTTGAGACTTTCAAATTGCCCGGGTAGAAAAAAAATTGTAATCGAAATATTTTTTCCAAATTTTCCAAAAATTTCTGGAAAATTTTGCAGATTTTTTTTTTGAACAAGAAAAAAAAGGAAGCAAAACAATTGTATTTTTGGGAAGTTTTGAAAAATTATTCAAAAAATTGTTTCGGAAATTTTTTTTATCATTTTCTAGAAATTTTTGCGAATATATATTTTAAAAAATTATATTCTTACTTTTTTAATTTTTCAATATTCTCAAAAAAAAACGCTATCTAAACTATAAAAAAAAATTGCTGTTTAAACTTTGGAAAAATTTTTCAAAACCTCTCCCAAAAATAAAATTCTTTTGTTTTCCCATTTTTTTTGTTTCATAAAAAAAATTCTGAAAAGTTTCCCCGAAATTTTTATAAAATTTGAAAAAAATATTCCGATTACAATTTTTTGAATATTTTTTATAGATTCGCAATTGAAATTCTCGAGAAGATGAATTTAATTGAGTCTCACGATTAGAGTTTAGACGTTCGATCATTAAATTTAATTTTCCGAGCGTCGGCAATTAATATTCATCAAAGTATAAATTCCCGTGTTCTGAAAAGCTTAAATTACGACCATAAGCTTTAAAAAATTTTTTTTGTGGTTGTCCTACGATGTACTTGAGGGGAGTAACATTTTATCTCAGCATAACCCTCACCTTCTAGGCCATCATCGACCCCAGAATCATATGAAAATCCAGAAGAGCAGGAATATCACGCCGCTGAACTCCTAGGGCGTAAAATCCCCGAGGCCTGCAACCACTTGTTCAAAGAATGTTCCGAGAACATCATCGACTATTTCACAGATATCGTAAATGACTAATAACTCCATCATCGACAGGAAAGAATTCAACGAGCAGCCGAGGGCGAGGAACGAAAAAAATATAAAACAGTGAAATAAAAACTGTAGACCAAAAAATCAAAACAAAGAGTCAGCAGAGAGCGAAAAAAAAATCCACAGCACAATGGCATCGAAACGTGACGCAGTTATCGGATGTTATTGGCATTTTTGTCGCTCGATAACAGGTGCGCATGGTTGGGTGAGGGGGTGGTTTGAATTTATTGAAACGGTGGAGATCATGGTAAGCAGCAGAAAGAGAGGTCAACCCCAAACCCAAGCGATGCGAATAAATAGAGGGTGAGGGAAAAAAAATTAATGTGGTATTCTTCCAGTCAATTGCACGATCAAGTATTAAAAAATTATTCTTCAAGTTTAATAGTAAACAGAATGTGGTGTGGATCTCTGGTATGTAAATGAAATCGAGATATTTGCTTTCTGTAAAAATTGAGGGAATAGGAATAGGGTATGTACCCGAGACCGAACGAGTACTGAACATAAAATATTTTCAAATCGGAAGGTTCTATATTGGCAGTTTTTTTTTTTTTAGTACAGAAGCGCGTTGCGTTGAACTTTTATGGCTGGTGGTGGACGGCTAGAAGAGAAGAGAGCACAGTACACATGATGGTGGAGTCATAAGGACAGGGGATGAGAGGTCACCAGAAGGGGGTGGATTTTTATTAGGTCGTACACGGGGAGTTGTAATTCAATCCCGCAGTACGGACTCACATTCCGTGGCAAAGCGTCTAAGTGAGAGCAACGACGACGGTTGTTCGAGACATCCCAGTTTGATGCTTTACCGTCTCCCCAGCTGTAACAACCCACTCTATATCCACTCCCTCTTCCTGTTTCCCCTCACTTTTTTTTTCAACCCCTCATCCAACATCCGGCATTTATCCGTGGTCAGTTGTTGAGAGTTTTCCTCTTTTTTTTTTCGTCCACAAATGATTGTCTTTGAATGAAATCTTCGAGCCGTTCGGGGCTCACTCTAATTTTATTTTCTACCGGTCTTCTTTCATCTCCCTTTACCAGTCGATGGACTCTTCGGGTACTTGTCAAAGGGACTGGGGTAATGTCTGAATGATCGCTCTGGAAAATGCTACAGACGGGAATGATTGAGTGCGGAAAAATTATGTCTTACGTTTCTGCACGGCGACAGTATTGGAAATGCATTTGTTAAGGCAGCAAATGTAATTGACTGGGGGAAGGAGAAATTATTGTATGATTGGCATGGAATATCATGACTTTAAAAATTCCCGGGTAAAAAAAAATTGCAATCGGAATATTTTTTTTCAAATTTTTAAAAAATTTCTGGAAAATTTTTCAGAAATTTTTGTTTGAAACAAAAAAAAATTGGTAAGCAAAACAATTGGATTTTTGGGAAATGTTTTGAAAAATCCTTCAAATATTTGTTTCGCAAAATTTTTTTTATCATTTTCTAGAAATTTTAGCGAATATAATTTTTTTTAAATTATTCTGTAATTTTCTCACTTTTTAATTTTTTTAATATTCTCAAAAAATACACTATCTAAATAATAAAAAAATGTCCCTATTTAAATTTATGAAAAATTTTTCAAAACCTTCCCCAAAAATAAAATTGTTAAATTTTCCGATTTTTTTGTTTCATAAAAAAAATATTCTGAAAAGTTTTCCAGAAATTTTTTGAAAATTTAAAGAAAATTAAAAAATATTCCGATTACAATTTTTTTCCCCGGTCTGGTAATAGCAAATATTTTCTGTTTTAGGTCTCATTCTTATCGATATAAATGTCCGGTAAAGTCGGTCATGTCGTATATGTGAAATAACAGTCCTTTGCAATGGATTATCCGCTCAATTAAAAACTCGTTTCCGTAATGGACATTTCCGCTTGCCATAACGACGAGGGCCCAGCATTGAAGTATCCTTGCTAAATTGCACTATCGGTTTTCCCTCAATCCCTCGTATTTCCGATTTACGCGAAATCGGAAAATTAAAGGCGACGCATTGATTCTATTGAAAAATTCAATTACCAGTCCGTCTATCAGTGGATGATTACCAATCTTTCGATCAACTTTCGGATATAACGCGACAGTTTCTGCTGAAGGAATTCGTCCCCCCAAATTGAAAAAAAAATCTTATTTCAAATCTCAAGTGGTGCAGCTAAATTATCCCAAATAAAACTGATAATAATAATATTATCAGTCGGCGTTGATGATCTTCATGGGTGTGATTTTCTCCTTGTGTACTTTTCGCTAATAGCGTTTTCTGTTGGAGAAAAACCATATACTCGTAGCTCGTTGACACGATAGAATCCCGTTCTCTCAACATTTGTTCAGCGAAATGCACGAGAAGGAGGAGATGAAGAGAGAAGGCGCAGGAGAGCGATCTAACGGACCGAAATAATTTAGTTTACCCTGCGATGGCGGCTCTCCGAGGCCTAGATTTACATGACCGTATATACTTTATACGGTTGGATGGGTTGAAGCACCATCAGTGCTTTCAAAAATCCAACGAGTGAGTTTATAAAACATTGCACATTTCTATTTTTTTTTCCACGACAGACAGGAGAGAGTGGAATGAATAAATAAATCGGTGATTCTCCCTCAATTTATGCTTGCCAGAGGAAAATAGGGGATAGAACAGCTTGGGATAGTAAAACAAGAGGGATAAGAGGCGAGATGAGAGCGGGTGAGACAATTTTGTTGGCACTTGTCGCCTGTGTCCTTCATAAAACTTTTGGTCACGATCGTGGAAATGTCGCAATGAGTCCAGTGAATGGAATGAAACTTTTGTCCCGCTCTTCGAGAACTCTGCTTTATCCAAACCCTTCAACTCTACTGGTAAGTGTACTCTAGAGTATTTAAGGAACGTTTGCGCCAACGATGTTTGATATATTTAAGAAAATTTTATCGAGGGTGGCTTTCAGGGAATTTTACTGATAATGCAATCACTGGTCGCACCATCAATTCCAATCACGAATTTTTTGCTCGGTCGTGGCTCAAATCTAGATGAAAATTCAAATGCTAATTCTGAGGGGAAGAGGAAATATGGAGATGATCAACTCTTTTTTCTATTTGTTATTGAAGAAAAAAAGAAAATAGAGGGTGGGAGCAACCTGGGTAAAAAAAATTGTCATCGGAATATTTTTTCCGAATTTTTAAAACATTTCTGGAAAACTTTTCGGAAAATTTTTATTTTGAATCGAAAAAAAATCGGGAAACAAAACTATTTTACTTTTGGGAAATCTTTTGAAAAATTTTTGGGAATATAATTTTTTCTTTTAATTATACTCTTCTTTTTTACTTTTTTGATTTTTCAATATTCTCAAAAAATACGTCATATAAATGATAAAAAAAATGTCCTATTCAAATTTTTGAAAAATGTTTCAATGCCTTCCCCAAAAATAAAATTCTTTTGTTCCGATTTTTTTTGTTTCAAAAAAAAAACTTCTGAAAAGTTTTCCCGAAATTTTTTGAAAATTTGAAAAAAATATTCCGATTCCTATTTTTTTTTCCTGGGAATGTACCACCCAATTTCTCCTATCCCCTCATTCTCGATTAATTTTCCAACTACCCAAGTGATTGGTCGCATTGAGCTATTCCAAAATAGATAAAAATTTTCAATTATCCAGCGGCCCCCCGCGACTCAAATATCCATCCAGTTCACTGAGTACTTTTAATTAAAATCCATAATCAGTAATGGCATTTGATTTCCAGATGATAATTAATATATCAGATTAATAACTGCGCTGTCGACTATCGGTTAAGCTATAAAATCCAATGGGCTTGGTCCGTGCTATCTCCATTCTCATGGAGTTCGATCAGTCGAGGGTTATATATCTCTGGCTTAATCGACCCTCCACTGGGGGGTCATTCCGAAGGCTAAAAAGAATTTAACGTCAGTGAGAATTCCTTTCTCCGTCGACAATTTATGGAGCAAGTTCATTCATATTATTTCTACACAGATCTCGGGGAATCATGAATTTTCCTGTATTCATTGCATCCAAGACTTATCGACTCGATGAATCATAAATCATTTAACCGAGATGATAATTTCGCTCTGAAAAAAATGTATATTATGTCATATGTCGCATAGGATAATTATTCATGATTTCACGGGTAAAAAAAAATTGTAATCGGAATTTTTTCCGAAATTTTCAAAAAATTTCTCGACAATTTTTCCGAAATTTTTTTTTATCAATCAAAAAAGATCGGAGAACGAAATAATTTTACTTTTGGGAAAGGTTTTGAAAATTTTTCAGAAATTTAAATAGGAAAATTCTTTTTATATTTTGGATGGAGTATTTTTTTGAGAATATTGAAAAATTTTAAAAGTAAGGAAATAATTTTAAAAAATATATATTCGCAAAAATTTCTAGAAAATGATAAAAAAAAACTTCCGAAGCAATTTTTTGAAAAATTTTTCAAAAACATTCCCAAAAATCCAATTGTCTTGTTCCCCCATTTTTTTGTTTAAAAAAAAAATCTGAAAAGTTATCCAGAAATTTTTTGAAAATTTCGAAAAAATATTCCGATTACAATTTTTTTTCCACCCGAGTTTTAATGAGATATCGTCACTGAAATTGACTCCAAATAATTCCAATGCGATTTCGAATCGATCGGGTGGGTCTCTGAGTTGATAAAAAAAAAGGGGGCGAATGATAAAAATAAAATAGATAAAGGACCAGGGAATTTCTTATTCCCAACGCACTCGTATCCTTTTACTGGCTATCGTCATGTTGCACTTGGTAGCGAGAATTGGGAATGAACCGTGACTACGTTTTCACAAAGTGTGGGCCCATTAGAGGGGCTGAGGGGGTGGGAGGGGTGGGCAATAGAAGTAGAGGCTGGAGGGTTGAAATGAGGATGGCTAAGTGCGAGCTTAAAAGCACCGGCACGTACTATCGAGCGAGAAAGGGGTACGAGTTTCGTTTTGAAACGCTCCGGCAATCCAGCGCGTTAATTAGTTAGACTGATTGAATAGTAAGTAGGTAAATCTTGTGTGTTTGCGTGGCTAGCCATAAATTTTCCCGAATTATCAGGCAAATGTGCCACGACAAAGACATTCATTTGTCATCATTGAGGGCTAATCAATCACGACAGAGATGATGATTGGAATCATTGCACTAGGCAAACAATTCCTTTCAATCACTCGAGGATAAGTTAATCAATGATTCATTTATTTTTATTCATTTATTTTGAACGCATTGAACAATTCATGGGGATAAAAATAAATAGCTGTTTCGTGCATGAGAAAAATTCTTGATTGTAGGGTATTTTTTAATTTTTTTTTTTCTGTGGGTGTACAAATATTTTCGTGAATGATTTAATTTGAATAAGCCGACGGGATTGAACGGTTAATGACGGCAATTGTCCCGAAAGCACGACGGTAACGATGATTTGACGTTTAATTTCAACGATTTCATGTTCCAGTTAATTTTCGGGATAGGTACCCCTTTGCAATTAGACAGCGAGAGTGTAATTGTCGGTGCCTTCACAAAGATGGTGTACACATTACCCCAGAATTCCACGGATTTCACAGAGTCAGGTGTGCAATTTGCGAGAAATGGTCAGACTCGTTGGACCATTTACAAAATATTAGAGAGCACTGCTAATTCGTACGGATTTGAGGGGAAGCCCTGCTTGCTCCAGGCAATTTGCGAGCTTGCTGCTGTACCATTTGACCTCCGTCATGGTATCTTCGGCCAAATCATCCAGACATTGCTCACGTAAGTTCAATTTTTCCATTAATATTTTCAATACAACTCCAGAGGAAACCCGGGATACCCGGACCAAACGCCAGTAAAATGGGATGAATTAATTTTTCTGCCCGACTCCGTTACGTAAAAAAATAATAAAAATGTTTTTTAATGTGAGAGAATAAAAATCTTTAAGAACGGCTAGAAAAATTGTTGAGATATGAAAGAATTTGACTTTTCGAGTCTCTGAACTTCACAGAGTCCTCCGGAAACTCATCCTCAGCGCAAAAACTTTTCAAATTCCCTCGGCGAGGGCTCACCGACGGGTTGCATCCAATATACGAGCGTCACGTCCAGCCAATAATCAAATTATCCCTCAATTTGAAGTTGCTCGGGGGCCGAGGAAAGTGATGAAGTATTTTTGGATAAATTCGGGGAGAAGGGGCCTTCCAGATTTGACTGGAGTTCGGGGGGTTGGAGTTTCACCAGACAAACCACAGGGTTGGATCGATGTTGAAGGCTGGGCTGAGGTAGTTACTGGGGTGCCCATGCATGTTGCTTCCCTTTTCTGATATCACTTCAACCCGGAATTACGCTCCAGCCATAATTGCCTAGATCAAAATTTCAACATCCCACCACCTATTCCTGCTGGATAATCAATTCTCCCAAATTTTCTCCATCTTCATCAATAAATACCTGATAGTTTATCCAAATATCTAGGAATTCAATTGTAACAAATAATTTTTTATTTGGATTCCGTGGATTTGGATAATGGAAATTAATGAGCTCGAGATTCTCCGAATAAATTGCCTTTTCACTTACTCCGAGGATGTACCTTTTAATGTCAGGGACAAGGAACTCTGAAGCTCAGTAATTGATCCACTAAATTCAAAGTAATTGTGCTAAAAGTAAGCAGTAATGCTTCTTATTTAGAGAAAACTCCGGCTCTTGAATTGAGAAGCTGTTGTTTCCAGCTGCTGTTGCAAGTCTTAAAATCACATTTACTCGTTAAAATTATTCAACCTGACGCTCTGATTCCATCATTATTCTTCTCTTCCATTTTATTTTCGTACTTTATTATTTCAGTTCTATAAAAATGGAGATATTTGTAAACACAATAATTATATTTTGGGAGTGATAAACCAATTAGTCATAAAATTGAAAAAAAAAAACGGTAATAAATCTCTGGGTAATTCAGAATCTTGATGGCGGTTTGAACCAATATTTTGTGATGCAAATAACCCTTTCACCTCCAGGATGCACCCCTCGAATTAATCCCCCAAATAAACCCGAAAATTTGCGGACAGGTCATGTCAGTATGATTCTACAAAGCCATAAAATCCAGCAGCATGACTGAGCCAGTGCTCCGGCACGCATATGGAATTTGCAGGCCTTCAAGTACCATCGAGCCATACGACGAGTACCAGGATCGTGAATACCACGCAGCTGAAAGTCTCGGTAAGCACGTGGGTGAAAACTGCCACGCCCTTTATCCGGAATGCCATACAAGCGCCCTAGACGTATTTTCCACCATAGGATAGCTCCACAAGGAAAAAAAAATAAAAATAAAAAGAAAATATCTCGGCTCGCCAGCGCTGAAAAACTTTGTGACGTATTCATTTTTTTTTATATTCTTGTTCCAACAGAGAGAAAAAACCTTATTTTTCCTCCTTACTCACCCACCAGTTCAGCACTCAAGTTCCCTTTTGTTTTTGCTCGGTGCATTCCTTCAGCGATTTTCATTTGCCACAGAGTATAACCGGGATTCATGGAATTCCCCGGGTGGAAGCAATCTCTTTCTCCTTTTCTCTTTACTCAGACCAGAGATTTCGGCATAACACCAACTTGTTTTTGTAGAATTAATAAAACATTTGTTATGAAAGATGCTCGTCTTAATTCTTTTTCCACAGCAATTCCCTAGCGCTCTCATCTCGCATGTTAAATATTTTCATTTTTTTCACATCTGGAAAAGATTTTTTCCTGATAAGAAACAAATACCCAACCAAAAATTTCCCAATCACATTCTGCACTGAGAAAAAAAAATTAATCATCACTATAACTATTTAATTCGAATACGCAGTGTGTCTTATTGGATAATTATAGAGCAGCGTGAGAATATTCTCATATGCGAATTGTGGGTACTGAAAGAGTTGATGGGGTGGGTAAAAATGGTGATTTCCTCTCTATCCCTCGGTCTTCACGTGCTGCATACCACGTACCACTCGCTCCGTTCGATTAGTCAGAATATTCATTAAGCCAGTCGTGTGGGCAATACCTCTCTCTCGTTCACGGATGAAAACTGCGAAATTCCAGACAGATCGGTGCTTTTTTCAATAAAAAAAAAAACAGGTAGAATTTCCGATAGATAAGGGAGAGAAGAGGATAACTGTTGACGCGATCTCCTCTTAGGAATTCCGTGATAATTACTACCCCTTCTCCACTCCGAGTAAATATATAATAATGAATATATTATATATCTCTCAGACATTGTTTTCAGACGATAAGCAATTCACAATAAACTCGACACCATTCGAACTAAAAGTTTTAATATCTCTGGAAGGTATAATTCACAGTCGCGAAATATGAGAAAGTGTTAACATTCGCGGGGGTGAATTAAGTTCTCATTTTGATGTTTGGGTACGTCTTATCCTCTTGGTGACTGCCATTGTGCAAAGTACTTAGAATACAAATACATTTAACCGGGATGAAAGTTACGGATGGAAAACTCAACATTACTCAGTTTTCCATACGCCGGCATACCAACTGGAGCTGGAAGCCCGGCTTTTCTGTATAATGAAAGGATATACGCGAGAAACTCGGTGCAAACGAGACAGGACAAATGACAAAACAAGTAATGGGAGAAAGTTTGTGGGAGAGGGGAAAAAAATGCCAATGGGAAATGAAGGCTGCTATCCTGGGTGCGGTCAGGGTACAGTATGAGTTCTTCGAATCCATTTCATAATATTTCGTTTAATTTTCCTGAATGTTATTATCAAATTGCTAAAGTACTCTCTAATATAATCTATATTGATATAGATTGTACATATATATTTTTTCTGTGGTGATCGGCAATATGATAAGTTGATTTATTGATTAAGTTGATTGATACCGAGTTCAGAGATCTTAGAGGATTGAAATGGATCGGTCTTATTCAACAGATTCGCTCTGACGGTTTCGGACTCTGATGTCATCCGAAAATCGTAAAGTGGAAATGTAATACGAAGACGAGTGAAGGAATAGTGAAGCAGGGTAAAAGAAGAAGCAATTTACAGTGGATTCCCTCGGTCTTTGACCAGTCAGCCAATACGTGGGCTCCAATTACTTGAGCAAAGAGTAGATTTCGTGGAGGAAGTTGAAACACATGGATTTTCACATACCAACATCCAATGCCCTCACAATTCAGTTTGAAAGAGTTCGTTTGGGATGTTACGTGCTGTAGTCCTGATGCTGCTACTATCCACCATTCCCAGATTATCTATTGCGAATCAGGCCGTCTTATTATTTCCGAAGACTACTTTCTTCCAAGTGAGTACATTTCGAGGAAAAACAGCCAGATGTATTTATCTTGGATTGAGATATTTCGAATATGGATATTAGGAACTGAATGTACTCTTTTCATAATGTATATGTGTATATCCGGGTAAAAAAAAAATTTAATCGGAATATTTTTTTCAAATTTTCCAAAAATTTCTGGAAAATTTTTCAGACATTTTTTTTATGAAACAAAAAAATTCGGAAAACAATTTTATTTTTGGGAGAGGTTTTGAAAAATTCAAAAAGTAAGAAAACTACAGTATAATTAAAAAAAAATGGATTCGCAAAAATTTCTAGAAAATTATAAACAAAATTTCTGAAAATATTCCCAGAAATTTTTTGAAAATTTGGAAAATAATTCCGATTACAATTTTTTTTTACTCGGGTAGACAAGAAAGTTGATTAAAAAATTAACCTCCCGCTCAGTTTCCGCGACTGAAGCTAACGAACATCAAATATTTCCAAGAAGTTTCGAAAGCTGTAGAAACCCCCGACTAAAGTTGCAATGATCCAGCAAATGGTGATTAGGTTTTTTCGTAATGAAGTTTGACTGAATTTCCTGAAATCATGAAAGTCCATTGGCCACAGTTGACGTCCATCGATTTGACTGCGACCGAACGCTCGAGTGGATTCATTGTTAAAAATAATAACATGGGATCGGTGGAATATTGAAAATCAATGGACTCCTGGGGCTTTGTGTTAGGCTGGGGCACTGATGGGGTCATATATAAGCAAATACAACTTGACTGAAATATGAATCGAACGTTTGGACACGTAGCGGCGATGAATTTTCGATTGACGTCATCCAATTGACTGGATTACCCTCTGATCTATGAAAATTGCTGGAGCCCTGCCATCAAAATTCATAGATCATTTTCCAGCGAATGAATACAATACCACAGATTTTCTATCAATAGTTTACAGTTGGCATTACTGTTCCCTTCATCACTAGCAAAAGGGGGAACATCGTCACAAATTTTGGATTTCAATTCAACTACGCCCTACCATGGAATCTGAGCCAACTTCATGAACCCGGGGTCATACCTGCCAGAAAAAATCATTTCGATCTTCGCACCGCATATTCTGCTATCGAACAATTGCTCGATACGTGAGTACAACAATTTATGTTTACCCACACCGAATAACCGTTCAAAAAAATTGTAACCGGAATATTTTTTCCACATTTTCAAAAAATTTTGCGAAAAATTTTCGGAAAATTGCATTTCTATCCATGGATTTTTCTCGGGGATATATTTCTCCATTTTTTTTTTATTTAACCAAATTTTTTATTAAATATAAAAGTCTGAATTTCCAAATATTCGCAACCTTAAAAACAAGTATAAAAAAAAAATGGTTCTATGGACGGTATTTTTTTTTGGGGAAAATTTGGTCTGTATAGGCTCTGGAGTTTTAAATTATTTACATTTTTTCTGTTTCCGTGTTTTACATGTTATTTCTCTTTTGAGATTTTTATATTCTAATGTGCCTAAAAAAATAAATTATTTTCTGATATGTAAGAAAAAAAAAATGGCGCTACGGTATTTGCGGGATATATTTCTCCCACAGAATTCATGTGTGCGACGACAATGGGGTAGAAAATCGGAGCTTCGATAACTCGGGGAATGGATTTCGAGTAGAAAGAGAGAAAGTATAAAGGGTGGTAATAACGTAAAGTCTGAAGTAAAAGGGCCTCATTTTATTTTGTTGTGTATTTATCCCCGCGATTTCCCGTTAAAATGGCGCCTCGGTACTCACGCGTTAACTGTTGGCCATTCGAAGGAACATTTTCCAACGGACGATCCACTTTTACGTCCGAAATGCCAGTCCAAAGCGGATCCAGTTTAAAATTCGGGGATAAAACAATACAAATTTTCGTAAAACGAAACTAAGAAACGATGAAAGTTAAATCTCTGGGCGAGATAATACAACTTTTTATCACTTGCAAAGTCCTCCATCGAGAGAGAAAAAAATGTTTGCGCACGCGTGCTGGATCCTCTGCAGAGACATTAAAGTTCTTCAAGTATTTTCTCAGCTGAGATGACGTGGTATAAATTGAATCCCACTGAAGCCTGGATTAAATTTAAAAAATAATTACAAGACCGTTATATGAATTACAGGGAGTAACGAAGAAGGCAGGCTTTATCAAATTGTAATGAGTAATTTCAGTTGATGAGGGTGTAGAGGATAACGAGATTATCCTTCGTCAAAGAAAATTGATTCACGTTGAGGGTTTTCATTGTCTCCATGCCCTTGTCTTCTTGCACACCTCAAAAGATTGATGGAACGGTGGATTTTTGAAAATATCAGTGCCATGAAAAGTAATCGAGTCGGGAGACGGTGGTCGAATGAATTAATGAGAAAGTAAGTGCACAGGGGCGTAGATTAATTGGAATATAAAGTAATTAATTCAAGAAGCGAGAAAAGCACGGCAAAACATTTCATGGCGGATCGATTTATGGTGATGCTGAGTTCAACCGAGAAATTCCACTGGCAAATGAATTTTCTCACTCTATGAGTCTAATTTATTTCGCTCATTCGAATAATTATGGTGCATTTGGAAAAATAAATACAAGAGTTCTTTTATTCGGATGATATAGATAACTCGAGAGGACGTTGAGATGTATCACAGTGTGAAATTGTACTAAATGAGATCTGGATATTTACTTGCTTAGGTATGGCTGGAGGAATGGCAAGGAGTGCCTTCTGAGGAGCATCTGTGAGCTAGCTGAGACGCCTCTGGGTGAAACCGACCGAGACATCCTCCAGGAAGTAATTCACTTGTTCCTAACGTGAGTTTATTGAGTCAAAGATTTGCAGAGATGCACAAAGGAGATAATAATTGTACTTGACAGTGATGGAGTTGTCTAAATTCAGAGTCACTCTCAATATTTTATTTCAAAATGCCTAAAAGTAAAAAGATTCCTAGAGAGATGTTGTTCAGTTGCCAGACGGCAAAGGGTAACAAGTCCAATTGCTCCCTTCTCAACTTTTCGACGAATATCTCTCAATCTAAAAGAGATACCGACATTTTTTCTCGGCAACTCTTTTTTGTACAGTGGAATGAGAGCTGCAAAAAAATTTTAATTGAAATTTCTTTATCTCTTAGATTTAGAGATATTCTTGCAAAACTTATGGAATAGTTAAATCGACTTGTGCAAAATAATTCTGCTGCTGGCGAATGCAATTATTTTTATTGTATTCCCGGTAAAAAAAAGGGTAATCGAAATATTTTTTCTGAATTTTCAAAAAATTGATGGAAAAATTTTCAGAATTTTTCTTTTTAATAAAAAAACATCAGGAAGCAAAACAATTGTATTTTTTGGAAATGTTTTGAAAAATTTTAATTGCCCTTGATTTTTTTTTAGTTTCTAGAAATTTTTGCAAATATAATTTTTTCTTTTAATTATCCTGTTGTTTTTTAATTTTTCTTGACTTTTTTGATTTTTCAATATTCTCAAAAAATACGCCATCTAAATTATTTAAAAAATTTTCCTATTCCAATTTTCAAAAAACTTTTCAAAACCTTTCCCAAAAATAAAATTATTTTGCTTTCCAATTTTTTTTTTGAAAAAAAAAATTTTCCGAAAATTTTTCCAGGAATTTTTTTGAAAACTTGAAAAAAAATATTCCGATTAAATTTTTTTTTCACCCGGGACCTCTTTGCATCTAAATTCTGTCCTCAATTGAAGGATCGAGTCATTACTTTGGATTCTTGCAGGCCAACGGTAGATTTACCAGAGGTGGGTAATTCCACTCACCAGAGCGTAGACAAATCGTATCACGAAGCCGAACTATTGGGGAAATCTGGTGGTGACTGTACCCTGACTTATCCCAATTGCCCCGAATCACCACTCAAGTCATTCACAAAGATATCCCTCACCTCCGACTGACTCCAAAATTCACACCCCGTAAGTTCCCACTTTAAAAAAACACTAAAAATTCGCCGAAGAAACCCAATAATTGCCTGTTATTTTCCAAAAAACAATATTCCTTTGATTGGATGGAAGCCAATTATAATGGAGCGCCCGCGGGACAGCTGTGATTTTTTTTTCACAACTGCAGTAAAAAATTGAATTGCACGAAAAAGAGTTTATCAATTACCCTAAAATTCCGAGGGGGAGGGCGTTATCCACCCCAACTCCTCAATTGTTCTCTGATTATGCAAATAAATTGTCGAGTGGGAGTGATACCACCAAGTAACGCGATTGAATAGTTTGAGGAGTCATTTCAGAATTCAAGCCACTTGCATTAAATTCACATAGTTGGAGTTTAGCATACTGATTTTCGAGACAATAAGCCATTGAATCCGAGTTATAAGCTGGAGCAGGAGACACCCTCACGTCAAAACTTGCACGTAGCATCTTCCTTTTGTTCCTCATCTTGTGAGTGTCGTGTGCACGTTACAGCATCTGCTGTCACCTCGGCTTCGCTCATCTTCTTGATATGTCAACGACAAAATCAAGTGTATGTATCTCAAAGTTCCGTATTCCCCAGAATTTACCGAATTCATCGGAGCTAATCTCTCCACCAAAACTGCTCCAAGCAACAAATTAATTATGAATTATATCAAAGTCATATTATTTACAATACCGAACTATCAATGATGGATAAATAATTTTTTTAAATAATGACACACGGAGAATTTTTACAGAATAATTGTGTCTGGATAGAATAAATTCTGTGAACGTAAAAAATAAAATGGGAGAATAAATAAAATATGGAAGCAAGGTGTGAGGGTCTGGTAGCGAAAAAGCCTCGATAAAATAAATCGTACGTTGAACTTTCGCAGAATCCCTGAGGTTTCTGGGTATCGTGAGACAGCAAGATGATACTCATTAGTTTCTTGCTCATTGGCTTATACAGCGGATGGGGATGTGGCGAAACGATGGCCAACGAGGAACTTCTGTATCCACCACCTCTAGTCTACCCATTTGGAGGTACCATCAAGGTGAGACAACAAATGACATTCATTTTAATTCCAGGTGATTCCCGAAAACTTGAACACTCGAGTCTCACTCGATCCACTGCGTTACCCACGTCCCATACACTCGGCCAATCCCTTCAACTCCATTTATGGCGACACTCGCCCAGAAAGAAACTCCACGAGACTGGGAAAATGGTCTTTTATTTACGAATCCTCGGGTTTTACGGTCTCCGTAGCATTTTATTCGTGATAGACTCCATTATCCGGCTGCTTTGTGGCAACCAGTAACAATCCTCAACCTCTCTCACCACCTCACTCACACCTCATTGGGTTTAATCGATAATTAACTTCTGTCTAGTCCAGGGTGTGGGACTAATGGAATCGGAGTAACTTTTTCATTAGATGGGCTTCACCCTCTTCCTCAGACATTCACCGTTTCTTATAAATTCCCAAGTCAAACAAGTGCAACTTGTTAGACATGGAATGTTTGGTACTGATTGAACACCTTTTTTTTCACATCAGATGAAACGACAATCTTGAAGAAAGTTCCACCTTGGAATTTTATCTCGTTTAATTAGCCGCAGTCATGAATTTATTAATTACACTATTTATTGGCTTCACAGTATCGAATGAATTTAGGAAATTTGTAATTAAAAATTTTTAGGGCTGAAATAGATCTTAACGAGTTTCACGGTAAATCCCTGGAATGTCGAGTTGATTTTTTGTGTCGTTGAAACACAAAGGGAATTGCTTTCAATCTCTTTGATATCACATCAAGTTCCACAAAGTCTTCAGACATTCTTGTAATAATGCGCTCATATTTCCATTGAAAAGTTACTCGTAGGTATATCTGTGCCCATATCCCTCGGCGGTAGAATTTTGGTTTACGGCCAGAACCTGCAGTTTCAGTATGCACTACCCCAGAATGCAACATTCTTCACAGACTATTTCACATCATTAACTAAACGACGGAGAAGGTCAACAAGCGGTGAATATCAAAGAAAACTATTTTACGAATTTTTGGAGCAAGAAATGACTAGGTAAGTTATTTTCTTGTTAAATCAAATTATGAATGCATACACAAAAAATAAATAAATAAATAAAAATGATGAATACACAAGGATTACAAGATTACGAGAGAATTTTAAATCTTTTTGATGGTGGCAGTTGATGCAGAATGCAAGTCTAAGCGATACAGTTCATTAAACACAGGAAATCTTAATTGGTCTTCCGCTGCCGTCAACTCTGTGCGCTCATTAATGGATTTTCCCTCCTTTTTACTGCTATTTCCCTGCCTTCAGTCGAGCTACGAAACATTTTCTATGTCTCCGATTCTCTCACTTTGCCGATAGCACTTCTTTTATTGTAACTATAAATTAATTTTAATAAGTACAATTTTTCCATCGGGATGAATGGATCGGGAAATATTCCATCGTTCACGGGGGGTGAAAAAAATTGAGAGGACAGTCAATTATCGGAGTGAGAGTGCATCCATCGTTAGGTGATAATTATTCATTGTGTAATTAATTGGACTTCGGTCTTCACTCACTTTTTACCTCGAGCGCTTGTACGCGTTGGAATTAATTCGTGAGAATTTTTTTGTCATTTCATTTCAGAATATCCGTAGGAAATTTCAATTCACTCATGAAAATTTATGATTTTCCTTTAATTCCATGTGAACCGTGAAATTTCGTAATGATTTTCTCCTAAATCACTCTGGGTGCTACATTTTATGTGGAATTACAATGATTACTTAATCATTCGGAAATAACGATTTAAATTCAAATAGTAGTTTCAATGAAAGGGAATTATTCCAGATGGTGTGGAGATGGCATGTCATGCATGATGAAAAGCATATGTCAGGTATCACAAATTCCAGTGGGAGATGGTAGCCTTGTTGGTGAGCTTCTCAACGTAATGCTGACGTGAGTAACCATGTTTCTATTTTATTTTTGTAAATTCACCGTGAACCACTAGCACCGACATGCATGAAGGAGCAATACTCCATGTACATGGTAATACACAACAGGAAAATCGTTTATTCACAGGCCAGACTATGGAAACACTTCATTCTTCACTGGTCTCCATTACCTCAGAGCAGCTGAGGCTGGCAGAGAAGGTGGCGATTGCTCCACAATCTTTCCAGGATGTCCAGAGAGCTGTAGATTTCTCGATCACATCACTTCTTTCTCTCTCCATTAATTAACCGCCCTTAATTGGCCCATTATCCATTTTTAATTCCTTGTCTGAGAAAAAATTCTACAATAAAAAATTCAAAACAAAATTTATGGCTGCAATAATTTCAAAAATCCCGGTAGAATAATTCTCATTCATTCAGAATACTTTTAATTCTTGCGAATGATCCTCAAAAATGAGAGAGTGTAATGCATAATTATTGACGTTTTCGAAGAAGCCACGGAAGATCCCTGAATAATTTAACAGCCTAAGTAGACTCACTCATAACGCTATCATTGAGTCTGAGAATTTTTCAATTTGCCATGCATTAGCACCGGCCATAATGCGGAGAGCAATATTTGTCCACTGGTGCCATAAACTCAAAGTTCACGAAAAGCCAGAAGCCAGGAGTAAAGGGTAATATATATGAGGCCAGGGTTACATAGACTCCCTGGGCAACGAAAACGACACCTGCTCTGTTTACCAAAGCACTAACGACCTCGGTATACACCACTGAGACCTGTCCACAATGCTAATGCCACTGGTACACCCAATTGCCAACCAAGAAGTGTCAGATGGCTATCCGTTTGTCATCATCCTTTTTTTTTCAGTTCTCTGTTGAGTGTTAAAAACGCCAGGGAGAAGACTCCGGAATAGTTTCACCTAACGAGTGAAGATTAAATATATAACCACGTTAAAAAAAAATTGGTGAGCAGAAAAATAATTCACTTGAGTATTCCAGAGGTTTTTATCGTTTCCTATTGAATTCAACATGTACCAGAATGATTGTACCAGAATATAGCGATAATAAACAATCACTTAAATTGAATAAAACAATGACTATATCTGTGGGAATCAAGGGTAACGACCGCGTACTAATTGGCACCGTAGATCCTGTAGGGTTGAAAGCCATGGCCATGAGTTGGTGAAGAGGGTGAGTGGGTGGATTTAACTCGCGGGGTAAATCGTAGACTGGAAACTAGCGTTTGAAACTTGGCTGGATGTGTTCAGTTGGTTGGAGAAACTCTCACTCCCCGACACTCTTCCTACGGTTATGAAGTACGTGATAGTACGCACACTGTTGCAGATACATATGTTATACAGAGGGTTGAGAATCCGAACTGGAGTCATTTCACCTTCACTTTGATACCATGCGGCTTCTGTTTTGGATCGTTCTGTTTGTCATGGCAGTTGGATGTGACTTGGTTGGGCTACACCGCGCCAAGAGGGTCGTTGCTTTCAGGAAAGGGAGCACTTTCTTCGTGAGTACTCGATGAATCACCATTTTTTTTACTATTGATTCGATCGAGTTGAATCGACATTTCCGTTTATTCCAATGGATCTATCGCATGATGTCACCGGTTTCCATTCGACGGTTTTCCTGCTCGAGGTCGTTTCTTTTTTTTCCAATTTTTTTCCCCCAGCCTACAATAAAAACTTACAATAAAAAGTTACAGTTGGTAACTGATTTTATTTGACCCGCAGTACCGATTGAACTACAAAATAAATTCAATTCCCTGGACAACGATATTCGCTCAAGCCGCTGGTTTCAAAGTGGCATGGCACTTGCCGGATGGTACACGTACACGGAGATCCCTCCCGGATTTACATTCAGCGGCTGAACACATGTACGAGAGGTAATAAATACTTGACACATTCAAGTGAATAATGCAACTGATGTGTGCCACTATATTTTTAACCCCCCGTTCACCCCCCGTTCACCCCCCGTCAAGGACGACAAACCAAGTACGGACTGGTGGGTTGAAACCTGCAAGAGCAATAACGGGTAAAAGCTGCATATGAAAATGGCCCCCCAATGAATATTCCAAACCCCCTGAATAATGAAAAATCCCAAAAAGAATGATCCCCCTTGAAAAATGTAATTGCACACGCCCTGACGGTGAGAAATAATGTTTTTTTTCAGTCATGGATTCGATGGCCATGCCTGCCTCGTTCAAAACATCTGCGAGGCACTCAACTATGCCAGCAAGAGAGGCGGTACCATTGGCAAGATATTAAAATTGCTCGCCAGGTACTGAATCACTTCAATTATCTCCGGAATTCGCTGAAAATCGATTAATCGAAAATTTCCCTCCCTCTGACGTATTGCTTTGATAGATCCAATGGACTAGTACTGAATCTCTGTCTACCCCCTTTCAATTCCCCCCTTGCATTGGTATCCCCTTTGATTTCAGTGCATCGAATTCCAACTGGACTCATGCCGAGAACCCTCTGGTTGATTGTGAGCAACACAGGGCAGCATGTCCACTGCAATTGATCAGTGTCGATGGCTTCTCCGAGATGTGAAGCCTTTGTCCATTGTCTCGTTGCTCCACAGCGATATCATGTTGTTGATATTGTTTATAAACTCGAAGTATCATCGATCATCATGTTGGAGAACATAATTATCCACCGATCAAGGGATTAAAGACAAATAAATCGTGAGAAATTTATTGTATGTCTTATATGTATTCAGAAAAGTTCAATAAAAATTATTAACAAAAAAAAAAGGCAGAATTTACGAAAGGTTTCATTTTGAAAAATACTTTCCATTCACTACTGAAATAAAAACAGATTTTTAAATATATATTAATTTTTAACAGGATTATTTTTTTTAATGTATAGTATTATGGCATCAAGACTGCCATTTTTATTCTCCACACCCTTCTCGTAAAAAACTCATCAAAAAATTTACGAGTCATTAAAGTAGAACTATTGCGTTTTATTGAAATCCATGTGACAATATTTGATGCTTTCTGAAAAATAATTCTTTTTCATAGAATAAAAAAAAAATGAATAAGATAAAAATTTTCAGGAGACAGATTCTAATTAATATTGTTAGTTATTATTTTTAGGTGTAGCTTGAGAGAGAAAAAATCTCCCCCGCGAGATGAAAAAACCAAGGGTCGACAAAATGGCATGATTCATCCCCAAGCCACCCAGGATCACTTCAGATTTCATCTCATAATTATTTCGAATGCTGCACACAATTTTCAACATTTATTATGTAACAATAATTATATCGATATCAAATAATAATTCATTCGATTCTGGAATTACCATTTAATGTGATAAATAGAGGGATTCGTCCAGGAATTTGAAAAAACCTTCTGAATTACCCATGGGTTAGTGAAATACAATGAAATCCACCTGTACACCAGTCCAATAAAGTGCCAATGAGTAAACATAGCGGGTACTTTGGTGTCGTACCAACGAATTATCGCGTCGTGTTGTACGTTTTATCTCTTTCTTTTTCTCTATTCATTGCCGATAGTCCTCAGGTACAGAGTACAAAACCCCAGGTTTCACTATTCGCCGGAGGTGCCTTTGAAAAACCTTTTGCAGTTTCGATTGGACGGAAAGTCAGGAGTTAATCGACATGATGACTGTGAGGGCTCCATTTTTCATTATCATTAATCATCCTGTAGTAGTGCTTCATTCTTCATGTTTAATCCTTTTTTCCATCGGAAAGGAACGGAAATTTATCCTCTTGGTGAGTTGTCTCAGCTTTGTGACACTCGTTTCCGGAAACGCCAGTGCAGAAACTTGTCCCGAGTCGAGAATCTTATCCCGACAGAAAAGATATTTGTTATTCCCAGAAGGCAGTAATGTGCAGGTAAATCAATTGATAATTGATAATTGGATCATTTGATAATTTTATTGAACTATTGTGAACAATCGGGAGGAGTCGCGCGTTCCTGAAGTCATGGAATCACAATTCCAATTGAAAATTCTCCCATGAAATCATTTCGAAGTCGCGACGAATTAATTAATATTAATTAACATCAGTTAATTAAACAAATTGAAATGTAATCAAGTATAAAATATACTTGATTCAAGTATTCATTTTTTTTCGTGTGTAAATCTGCATTCATTGAGACGAATTTCCCGTGGAATTCATCCGCTGAATTTTCTTTCGTGTCTTTCATAACAGAGACCTGATTTTCTATTTGAATATTTCCATTCACAATTGAAAACGTCTTCCGGTAGATTTGATAAATGCAAACAACATTTCCAGTGTGTATTCTGCTTGACGATCGGATCGCTACCACGACCGAGCGATCTTGTGCTAGGATTGACAGCAGCTCTTGCTTGGGAATTGCCGAATAAAGTAGACAAGAAACTAACGAAATTGCTGCATCGTCAGAGCCGAAGTATTCTCTTCCCTCGAATCGAAGCTTTCCTCCAATCGTAAGTCACTATCCACAATATCGAGTTATGCATTGGCCCATGATAACAGCGGAGAGATGAAAGAAAATCACTCGTCATGAGAAATAAGCCATACCCAGAGATTTTTCTGCCCTCAAAAAATAGTAAACAAAGGAATTGATGTTCATTCAATCGAAAATGCTTGTTGAATATTTTCCATCTATTTTGCGTGCAAATATATTCAGCGTAATACGTAGCATTGGAATTTTCTGGTTGCCCTCGATATTGACAGAAATGCCCTCTCGGGGATGTCGTGTATTTGCCACTAGCAGTTGCAGACGTTGCAATTCACCTTCTACTCACACTCCTTTATTTTCTCTTCTCCTCAGATCACCATCTTGAATGCTAGATTCAGGGGATCTGAAATTGAACACTGGCTTCGAATCCCTTTTTTATCTAGGTTTATTTCTGGATCAAGTGTTTGTAAAAAATTCACTCCTCTCCCCAATTTTCTCTTTTTATCATCCCTATATTTTTAACTTCATTTAAAAAAGACTTTTATCCCGAAAACCTCTAGATCAGAACCCACAAATGTTGGGCTTTTTTTCGTTCCTTTTAGCGTGCGGTTAGTACTTGAAGAGTGGTTCGAGTGTGTGTTGAGGATTGTTATTGGCCTTTTGAGGATAAAGCATCGTGAAGAGGATGCTCATTTAAATTTCAGTTTGTCTACTGTGACGGGCTTGAAGCAATTGTCTCGAAATCCTCAGCTAGCTTTTGCCTCCTTTGATTTTCCTATTTGCTTTGAGGTACTCGATACTCGCAGTTGTCGTTGTCATACCCAACTTTATTTTATCCACGGGTTCAAGTATTATCCGGAGTTCATTCGTAGACTTTATCGTTGATCTGAATCCAGCTGAGAATTAGATTCTACCCAGTGATGAGATCACACAGAATTCCTTGGGTTTAATTAAAACTTTGTATTAAATGCGTTAGGACTGGTCTTGATGGGAGATCCTGCGTGCTGCGAGCACTCTGTGAAGCCGGTCAGAAGAGCCAAGAGCTCGTTGGAAAGGGGACGTTTGTTCAAGAACTACTTCATTCCATCTTCAGGTAAAATTAACTTTCCTTCCTAATAACCCCCTTTTCAGCAAGATTTCCCCTTTCACATTCTATTGAAATTTTTTTTTTATTTGAATTGATTTTTTTTTCACTGTCTGTATTAAATTCTGTGAAATAGTCATTTCATAAATTTAAGTGTAATTCATTAGTGCTGTTATCAACAGCAGCAATCTCCGAATCTGTAATTGCTCACTAAAAAACTAGACTTCATTCCCACAGATTGCGAGGGGACAGTGGTAAATTCGAAAAGTTTGAGCATCATGTCTACGATTCAGCTCATGAAAGTAGTGGCGACTGTGCTAAAGACTATCCAACTTGTAAACACTCCATCTACGAGCTCGACTTCTAACGCTTGAGAGGTTAGAACGTACCTCAAATGACAGTCGTTCCATCAACTTTTTTCTGTACCATGAAGAATCCATGGAAAACTTTCCAGACGGAAACTCTTTGGACGTTCCTTAATTGTGGTCTACGGTAGCCATTGGGATAATGCACCCTTTTCTACCGGGAATTCAGTGTCAGCGTGACGTATTTTTGACAATAATTTGGTGGTAGGTGTGTCAATGAGACTGAAAAATTCTCCATGGACCACTCGAGAAACTCCCACACCACTTTATCTGGCAAGTTGCCTATCGGAGAGGGAATTCGGGGATTCCCCGAGTGCTTCACATATCCGGTGCATCCAGAGGGCGTTTTTCGGAGGGGGGATTTATGGGTATCCAGTGTTTGTCTCAACATTTGACAAATCTTTATCGTGAGAAGAATCGGTGAATCCGGGGAATTTAGTACGTGTTCCTGAAGATGTGAGGATAATCGCGAAATTATTTATCCCTTTCATCAGAAATTTCATTTAGAAAAAAAAAATGGTTCAGTTAAAATCAACACAATAATAAATATAAATAATTATCAATTCCAAAAGGATCACTTATGTAAATAAATTGATATAAATAAATTTATGTGCCGATAGATAATTGCTCTGTGTACATGAAATAAATAAATATAGGTGTTGAATATACGAATGGGTTTCTACAATTTAGATTTTAATCTCAGAAAATGAATTTTAATGCATAAAATATCAGACTCATGGATCAGCTAACGACTCGCGGGGAAATACTAGAGCTTTACCATCCTGGATATTTCCCTCGGAGGTTTACAACGATATTTGCAGTAGTTAATGAACGCTAAATCATGCGTAAGCCATTTAACAACAGTCCCGTTGCACTTGAAATATTTCCGACGGTGTGAAAATGAACATTCGGCCATACATCACCACCGAGATCCGAAAATGGTTGGAATAATGAATAAAACCGGGACATTTAGGGTAATGTTATTCTTATCGTCGTTCAGAGCGATAATCTGTTTGAACGAATGTGTCAATATCACGGAAAATCGGAGAGAGGCAAGAGGAATAGCTGGAAAGAGATATTTGGTATTTCCCCAGGGCAGTAATGTACAAGTGAGTAAACAATATTAAATAAATTCAACCGTTGGTCATAAATTCTGGTGATTAAACTCAAATATGATCTTGAGCTGGGGAATCTGGGGCCTGCAAGTCGTGGACTGTTAAATAACTTTTCATTTAATTTCACAGCCTTTGGGGATGGAAAATTCAAAATTTCGGGGAACTCCAATAAAACCTGGAAACTCTAGATTAATTATTATGATAATTTTATTTTTTTTTACACGGTTTTAGGCATTTATTGGTAAACTTTTTACAGTTAGTTTATTGTCTGACTTTGGGGACTTTAGCGAAACCCACCGGTTTTTTTACCATGGGAATAACTGCTGGATTGGCTTATGAGTTGCCTCATTCGAATACTGTGCCCTTCAGGAAACCAGCGGAGGTTTATCATCGAAGGAGTCGACGAGATCTGTACAAGAAAATTGAGATGATGATGAATACGTGAGTTCAGAAGGAACCATTTTTTTCAAGTCTACTGAATATATGTGAATATATGTTTTTATTTATTACACAAATATATTCCCAGGATAACTAGATATAACTCTGTTTTTCCAAGGAGTCCTGATCAAAAAAAAAATTTAATCGGAATATTTTTTCAAATTTTCAAAAATTTTCTGGAAAAATTTTCCGAAATTTTTTTTTATGAAACAAAAAAATCGCAAACAAAACAATTTTATTTTTGGGAGGGTTTTGAAAAATTTTTCAACAATTCAAATAGGAAAATTAAAAAAGTAAAAAAACCGTAGGAAAATTAAAAAAAATTATATTCTCAAAAATTTCTAGAAAATGATAAAAAAAAGTTCGCGAACCAAATTATTCAAAAATCTTTCAAAACATTTCCCAAAGATACGATTCTGACGCTTCCCGATTTTTTTGTTTCAAAAAAAAATTTCTGAAGTTTTCCAGAGATTTTTTGAAAATTTGGAAAAAATATTCCCATTAAATTTTTTTTTTTACCCGGAGTATTTTGGTTTTGAAGCTGGTGGATATTTTCTCCTTCGGAACTAGCCATTGCCAGGATCTCAATGTTCAACTCCTGGTGAAATATAACGCACTCCCCATTCCTCGTCACCCCTGCACTAATGCCCAATTCACATTTCCCCTTTCATCTTACCAGTCGTTACGGCTCAACGTTCTTGGCTTCGACACTGTACGCTATACCTCCAGTATAGAGTACTTTACGTCATGCCACTTAACGAGTTTGCAACTCTCGGTAGGTGGAGAGTCATGTCGGTAGTTTTATACATTACGATCCGATTATAAGTGACGTTAATGTTCCCGTGACGTACACCGGAAAAACCATTCTTTGTCGTTTTCCCTCTGATTTGAAAATAGATGCTCCTCCCGAGAGAAAATCCTCACTTGAGGATTACTCCCTAAGATTTTACAGGAGTAAAATGACTCTCTGACTCTCCGAATGCGATCGATCCTCCCCAAATCAATAAATGAGAAAATCCCGATAGGATTTCCCGATAGGATTTCCCGATAATCTTCTCAAGTTGCATCTAATGTCAATCACAAATCAATTAAAAAATTCTAATTATAATTTATTGAGTTGAGGTTTTGGCGCGAATTTCGTGGGATAAATGTGGAGATAAATTTTTATTGATTTCGTGTAATGATGGGGGATCGAGAGGAGTTGTTACCTCTTCGTGGGACAAATAACATGAGTGGTAATCTTGTAGAGGTGTATTGAGCTGAACGGTTATTACTGGTGACCGAGGATGGGTCAGTCGGAGTTGAATGCCTCTTGGGGTTGGGAAGGGGTACAATATCGATATCTTCTTAACTAAACCGACCCATTCGTATCGTCTAACCTGATCATTTACCGATATACCCCAGGTTATCCCGAGGTTATTGATGCTCCCCGATAAACCTAGAATATATCTCCAGGGAATCTGATTTCGCGTAATGCCACGAGTTTTTCTCTTATCGCAACAATTTTTCATTCGCTTTTTCTCAGCCATTTTGATAATTAATCGCATATGGTTTACCGAATTAATTTATTCATTTTAGATCGATCAAGTATTTATCTCAGCGAAAAATCACTTGTTGTTGTTAGATCAATACGTCGGTTATTTAAAATTAATATTTACTCGCATTAATTCAATGAATTATTTTGATCGGATGAATTTATTATGAAGGTTAATTCAACACAGAATATGACGGGATTTTATCGTGGGCTAGCTCGCCATTTATTTATCCGTTTTCGGTGTAATTAACGGGTTGAAAAAAATTGTAATCGAAATATTTTTTACAAATTAAAAAATTTTTTTTTTGTCAAACAAAAAAAAATTGGAGAAGAAAATAATTTTATTTTTGGGAAAGGTTTTGAAAAATTAAGAAGTAAGATAACAACAGTATAATTAAAAGAAAAAATTATATTCGAAAAAATTTCTAGAAATTTATAAAAAAAAAAATTTCAAAACATTTCCCAAAAATAAAATTGTTTAGTTTCCCGATTTTTTTTTTATTTCAAAAGAACAATTTTCGGAAAAGTTTCCGAGAAATGTTTTGAAAACTTGGAAAAAATATTTCGATTACAATTTTTTTTTCGCCTGGGTTGTCGATAGTGATTTCATGTTTTTTTTTAATCACGAGTCTCCGATTTTTTGATCATTCAATGCGTCACGAATTTTAATCTCCAAAAATTTCCCCACGATCTCAGTGAACTCCAGCCGAAATAAAAAATCCATTCCAAGGAACTGCCAAAAATATGAGAAAAAAAAGCCATTTGCGATAACTCCCAAAAAAAATATATAAAGCCGGATAATAAAAGGAACCTCTAAACTCACCCCATCCCGATAAGTCTCAAGTCATTACCTGACTTACCTAGTTTCTAATCGTCTCGTAACTTCATCCCTTCACACAAACCCCCAAGAAATTTAGCAGTGTCCCCCTCAGGTTGCCACCAAAGTTTGTCCTTGTGGAACTCGTTAAGCCCCTCGGAACACTGGAGGAGCAATTTTCCTCAAGCTTCGCCGGGTGTCAAATTATGTTATACACGATTAGACGATAGAATCAAACTAAGTGATTGAATATTATTGGACATCAAGCGATAACCATCCATTGTCCTGCATGTCTCCCCGAAGACGTGGTGAGAATGGAAGGGCTTGTGTGCTCAAGACCCTATGTCTCTCCGGACAGCGAAACCGCACTCAACTTCCAAAAGGTACTTTCATCCAAGAGATCCTTCATTCGGTATTCACGTGAGTTTTACCCCAGTTTAATCACTTTATGGACCATTTCTCAGTAATTATTATTAAAGGGCTTACCTGCCTAGCCCATCACACTTGCGAATTTTGGTATCGAAACTTTTGTTTGCAGATTGCCTGGAGGAGCTTACGATGTTGATCCGAAAACGCATTATGAGAGAGCCCATGAATCTACGGGGGATTGCCACTCCAAATATTCTGATTGCTCGGGATTATTTTAAGTACCAGTCTCCAGATTACACATTGTTTTTCAAGACGAGAGAGTAATAAAAAAATTGTGCAATCAATGTTATTTCTTATTAGTAAATTCACTCTGTCATTATCAACACGATGGAATCAAATTGCGGGGGTTGAGCGCGCTTTTTATTTCATATAAAAATGCAGAGCATGCGCGGATGATCAAATTTATTTTCCCGAATGGAAGAGTTATTTGGGATCGCTAGGGTAGATAGAGGTACTGGGGGTCAATAATTTTCTTATGAATCAACCAGTGGCAGGAGCCCGAAAATTCCGATGAAATATGGGCCCCGGGGGTGGGGGTGATATGATACCCCGTGTATGCATCAAGGACGTCATCTAGCATTAAGCCAATGTTATTCTCCTTAGGGTGCACAGTATGCATGCCGTTGTAATTTCCTGGAGGGCGAACAAGCTCGTCACTATATATGTTCACCAGAAAACTACCTTTCCCCCACTTGCGGTGTACGGAATTCCACGTAAAATGCGCTGAGCGTGAGAAAGCGGCTTTACATCACATATTTTCATCGTCAACTCCTTTGGTAGTCCCGCGAAATAAAGAATATTCCAGTAAAATGAGGTGCACAAAGAAAATTTCTGCGGGAAGTCTCTCGTATGTTTATGATAACGATCTGGGTAAAAAAAATGTAATCCGAATATTTTTTCCAAATTTTCAAAAAATTTCTGGAAAACTTTTCCGAGAATTTTTTTTGTAATTTGGATGGCGTATTTTTTGGGAATATTGTAAAATTAAAAAAGCAAGAAAACCACAGTATAATTAAAAAAAAATTATGTTCGCAAAAATTTGGAGAAAATGATAAAAAAAATTCCGAACCAAATTTTTGATAAATTTTTCAAACCATTTTCCAAAATACAATTGTTTTGTGTCCCGATTTTTTTTTGTTTCAAAAAAAAATTCTGAAAAGTTTTCCAGAATTTTTTTGAAAATTTGGAAAATATATTGCGATTACAATTTTTTTTTACCCACGGAATTTCTATTTCGTGAAAATCTCCTTTCGCGAGAACCAATTCTCGATCACCTGCCCAGTCACCCCCCACAAAAAATGTCTTGAAATAATTGAATTGTGATTATCTTGAAGGGTACTTGAAGGGGTAATGGCGAAAGTACCCCTCGATAGTTGTAACTGTCTGGAATTCGCAAAACTGTCCCGTGAAGTCATTCGATAACTGCCACATCAAACATGTGAGTATTTCTGGCTACATCACAGAAGATAAAACATGAACTTTTACATAACTGCAAGAGTCGGAGTTATTGGTGTTGACCATTCCTCTTCTCCAGTGAGAGATTATCGAAGCATGAGAGCACCAAGTCCTGCAGTTATTTCCGGACTTCTGGGAGTCATCAACCTCGTCCTGGCAGATGATCGATGTCACCTCACCGAGACAGACGAAAAAGAATCAATGAACCCGAATCGAATCCTGAGTAGATCAAAAAGATATCTCACCTTTCCCCAGGGAAGTTCCTTCGTCGTGAGTATAATAATAAATATAAATTGAAGATAATTAATAATTAATGAACTTCGATTGTAATTGACCCTGGAATTTCAGCTGACTCTTACAGGACTGAAATCAATTCAAGTGAAGGAGCCGACGAATTGGAATCTGGACCTGGAGTTTGACATGATCTGGCCGATTCCAAGCGATACCATTAAAAAAATTGAAAAAAAACCGATGAAGAAATTCTACACTCGACTGCGCCGACACAAAAGGGACCTCTATTCCAATATTGAAATATCCCTCAATAGGTAATTCAGTGCATCCACTAAATTTCACCGAAAAGCACGCCTCACTCGTGTACTTTTACGTATTGATAATTGATGAATTTAATTGCATTATCATTCTGTTGGACTGGTTATGGAATAGAGATAACTCATGTATTCATCATAGTTGGGGAGAACCAATGAATCCTGGGGTTCATTTTAATTGGATTGGGATAATTGCCGGACGCTGTATTTCCGTACTTTTGCATTGTTGGAAATGATGTGTATTTAGGGTAATTATTTGATGATACTGATTTATTAATGACAGAGACGTCGACTGTTTATATTCTACAAAAGTCTAGTGACTAATGCGTCGATTTATGGTGCCTTTTGATTTTTAATTAGGGCTTTATGAGATTAAAGATTTTATTTCTG